AAAAAACCAAAATGTCATGTATGAAAGGAAAGAAGTACCAGGAATAGTTGGTTTAGCTGATAAGCCACCCAATTTGAATAGGACAAAACTAATAATATTTCTAGCCATAAAGAGATCCATGTATCTAAAGTGGGTATTGTATTAGAAACCAGATCCCTTATACTCTTGGAGAAACTTAATCACTGAGTAGGTAAGAAATACTTGCTCTTGAAACATTTCCAGTTTATAACTCCAACAGCCCTGAAATTTAAGAGTGCTGGGGTATCAAATTATTTTCCAAAACCACCTGAAAATAAGCCAAAGATGCTCCAGGATTTATTTTTTCTTAAAGAGCTTAATATCTTCGCTACACCGAAAGTACATTGCTTCTAGCCTCAACAGGGAATGTTCTGCCAAGACTGCAGGAAAGCAAAAAAAATCCAGAACACAGAATATTACACTCAATTAATTACATGCTTAATTGCTCTCTTCTTTTAACAGCCTAATGAATAGAGCAAGTTTCAGTTTCAGAATGTAGCCCAGAGTTTCAAGTCCAACAAAGGAGACAGCACTGATTTGCAGTGTCTGTGCTAAGATCAGACATGTTCATGTAACCAGTAGTAAACATTCAGAGAAACATCTATGCCCCTTGTTTTCCACCCAGAGCATCCAGGAGTTGACATGTAGGGGGGTTTCTGTACAACCTGAAAAGAGAACATTTTATGTCATGGAAGCTGACAGCCCTAATTAAACTTAAAGAGAATCTGACTCATCTTACATCCCAGGCCAGTGGACCACCATGTGTCAGTGGAGCTTTGGCCTCTTTTCACTTCTTTGGCTAGGACCAGGTTGCACTACTGACTCACCTTATGTTTCTGAGTCAGGAGTCTAAAAACTATCCCAAGGCACACACAACTTTCATTTCAACCTTCCCAGAGCACACATCAAAGCGATGTACCAGGAAGCCAGTTGGCATGGAGTAGGTTCCAAATGTTTGCATAAACTGCAAGTTAGCTATTAAACTACTGGCAAACAGCCCAATTCCAATCAGAAGCACTTGCCCTCATTAAAGCTCAAAATATAAAACAAAACAAAGTCTCTAAGGTAAGCCACTCAAGATGTTACCTTTGTAAAACAAACATTTCATTTTAATGGTCAGATTCAGTTTGGCTTTTGCTCACTCTCTGCACTGTGTACCTATGTAAGGTATCTTCTTGCCATTTAAAAGCAAACCTGCCTGTCCTTTCTAGTAAATATAAAAATTACCTTCTATTTCCTCTACTAAAAGTTTTGCATGCAAAAGAAATTAACTGCAGTGATTTTTTTATCTTTTTATAAGAAATGCATAGTGTTCTCAGACATTCCCAGTCTTAACTGTCATACTATCTTGATGAAAACTCTTCAGGAAAAGCTGATGTGATTTCACTAATTCACAGACAATATTATGATACCCACTGTCAAATCTTTTATAATCCTGAAGTTCAAGAGAGTAATTTTTCAGTTTTGAAATGGAAATTCAGCCTTGGCATTAACATTGGAGAGAATGGGCACATGCACACAGATAATTCAGTCAGACATGAGCTCAGTCAGACCGTACTCCAAGCTGGCCGGACACGAGCCAGCTCTAGTTCAGCAGTCATGTAGCTGTGTTAGCACAGCACTGTGCCCACAGTAATAAAACCTGCTGAGAGGCAGGGTATATTAGGCTGGGCACAGTCCTACACTGTCTGGCCAACTTCAATCTAGGACAGAGGATGCTGGGTCTGTCTGCACCCATCTGCATTTTTCTTACATAGAGCACATCATCACACATTTGTAATTTTAAGTATCCTCCTTGACCGTAGCCATGGCAACTCCTTCTACCTGTTCCAATGAAGATTTAAAACAAGAGAATTACTAGCACTATAGAGCAATGAGGGGCTAAGGCAATTAAATGGATTTTATTTACACAAAAGTACTTCCAAGACACACAACTGTCCTTTACAGTAGTAACATTTCCCCCAGGCATTTATTCTGTTGTGGAATTCAAGAAGACTTGTAACTTAATTCTTGTCACCATCTCAAAGACAGAGGACACAGTTTTAGCAGTATACACGTCTACCTCAAAGTAAACAAACAAATACAAAATTAAGTTACTCATTGAAAAAAATGTGAATCCTAGTTCTTAGAAAAGGCCAGAAAACGAGACCATGAAAAGAGATCAGGTTCTTTAAAGTTTTGCTCTAAAGACCCACTCAACTAAACTCATCTTTGCCAGTGCAGGGAAATTACTAAGTGTTCCAAAGATGGAAAAAACTCCATGTATTAATAATCTACTGACACAGAAAGGACAGGTGTGCATCTCTGAGCTCAAATAACTAGCCCAAAAGATCAAGGAATAAAACTGTAACATGAACACGTTAATAACATTGAGTTTTCCTTAATAACAAATGCCCTGGAGCAGTTTAAGGCTGACACAACTGCACCATTTTATATTTTCTTCATTTAAAAGGCAGATTAAAAAAACCCAAAACTGCCAACAAAAACAGATTTACAGAGCTACATAGTTGATTTTTAGGAAATGCAGTAAAAACCCCTTCAATTATACAGCACTGCCTATGCCAACCCCTTCAGTCTTGCCTGTAAAAAGGCAGACAGGGTAAAAAAGTCAGACTAGAGTGTGAGATTTCTGTCTCTATTTCAAAGTAATTCCTTCTCACTACATTTAACATTTCTGTTTTCTAAAATAACTATTAAATATTTTAAAATGAACTATAGATTGCCAACTAAGAAAGTCATGACAGTATTTAAGGTATCTTTAGCACCCTTCAAACTCAAAGATATTAACACAAACAGGAAAAGTTTAGCTTATCTAAAAAAGGAAATTTAATCTGGGCCATAGCTTTTGAATTAAATTTAAATTTTCTTGTACACAACAATATTTCAGAAATGAACTCCCATTTGGATTTACGCTTTAACATTCATCATTTGGGTCTACTTGTACGCTCGTGTCACTGTGAATGTAAAACTCATGAAAAGGTATGATCCAAACAAGTTTAGGCAGACTCAGGTACCAATAAACAGAGAATGGTGACAAAGGAAGATGGTTTAAGGAAAGATTTATGATAATCTTCATTGTAATAGCCTGCATGCTGCAAAAATACTAGATAGTATTAGTCAGTATTCATGTTTACAATAATGCCTCTCAGCATGATCTGAGATCGCAGAGTGCTCTCAGCACTAGTAGATTTTAGCTATTTTTTAGCTTAAAACTACTTGTCTGACTCCAGAAACACAAATTTAGTATTCATGGAGGATTCTACACGAGTGAGATTACCCATATGTACAAAAATGCTCAAAATAATACTACCTTGAACAAGTTCTAACAAACATTCATTACTGGTGACAATCAAGACAATGACATAACTTTTTGGCAAAGTTAGATATGCACCTCTAATGTACTACAGCTGTTGAGTTCATGGATCATGCACACCTGCATTTAAAAAAAAATCTCAGTGTACAATTTTCAGAGAGAAGCTGAACCTTACCTTTAGTGACAGAAGGAATGCTTTTTCCATCTGAATTACTTAAACTGAATAACTAGTCCATTCCAGTTTTAAAAACTCGGACCTTGAAAATATGGGAGTTTGTCTTCCCCAATCCACTAATTAAAAAGATGCTAGATTAAAAAAAAACACTTGCAGAGCTGCTCTCTCAGTCTTACAAAGGGTCGAGCAAATGAAGTGTTCAGCTTCTAACTACAGCTAATACTTTGTTATAAATGTGTCCCCCTTTGTTATCCAAAGCACAGAACAGCATCAGTTAACAAGATGTAAGTTATTTAGAGATGAATTAGAGAAATAGGTAATTTACATCCAAAGTACCTGACATAAATGACACACATAGAACTCATGTATAAAGTTTTACATTTCTTTAAATGCAAAAATCTAATAATATAAGTAAATATAACCAGACTGTAGAATTGTTTAGAGAGATATACTGTTGTGTTTGGACACATATACAGCAGGTATAGAGTGTCTATTGTACAAAGAGAAATGTAAACCAAAGAATCTCCATCTTAAACGTAAGAAAGATCACACATGGTGGAGGTGGCGAACGGACAACCCAGACATGAACTAAAGAAAGTTACATTTAAATTATTTTAAACCAATTATCTGAATGAAGACTTTCTGGCTGATTTAAAAAGCAGTTAAATACATATTTCAATATTAATAAATTTTACAGTTTGTCCAGAATGCGAAAATTACTTAAGAAGAAGTGTACATATTTTCAGACTCTGGTCAGCTATTCTTCAAGTAACATTTACATAGGTATGCTATTATTTATCTTCTACCAGGACAAAAAAACCTCTAGAGAATGCACTGTAGAAACTAAACCAAGAGTGAAATGCAGGTGTAATTTTCTGTACCACTCCCTAACACCAGAAGGTTTGCTGTTAAGTCTCCCTAAAACCAATCTGCAGAGATAAAATATATAGTTAAACCTACAGTTAAGCCTTTCAAGTGAAGAGCTTATCCAGTGAAAAGCTGCAATTGAAGTAGGGCATTGACCAGAAGCTACAGCCAAGAGCAATAATTGAAGCCACACAACAGCACTTCTTTGTCAGAGGAGAGAATATTTACTGCTATGACTGTGTCACTATGTACCACATATTAAAGACACTAATGAAATATTTCACAAAAAAGGCAAAATTATTATTTTGAAAAATATAGTCCCTATTTAGGAGTTCTTTTCTGATCAGCTAACAAAACCCCTACTTTTTCCAGTAAAGCTCCACCGGAATTTTCTATGGCCACTAGTCAATTTTGGAACTGGTTGCAAAAGGCAAACTGCAGGCTGTTTTTTAAGCAATTCAATATGTTACATTAATAAATTATGGTTAACTTCAATTTACTTTATCGTGAAAGGTCAGAGAATGTAGAAGTGAATTTGCAGAAGTAATTTTTCAACGAAAATACCTAAATGGCACCAAACAACTGTGTCTTTAAAAGGCAGTATCAGTAAAAATTTGTATTACTTACGGGTATATAATAGATATTCATTTTAGGGGCTTCATTGGCAGTCATTAGCATTCCTAAAAAGAGATTTCCACATTTAAAAATATTGGTCATAAAAGGATAACTCCACTTTAAAAAAAAAAAAGCTAATACAGTACATATTCTTGGCCTGGAATGGAACATTAATTGAGATCTATAATGAATTATTGCATCAAATACCATGGAAAGAAATGTCTGATAGCAGCATAACTAACAAAGCTTCATTTCCTACATATTCATTCCACCTTTGTCCTCTATCTTAACTAACTGTTCAGTAGCGCTTCAAGCAACACTAACCACTGACAAATGTGGGCTGCCAATTTTCATAACAATTTTAAACAGTTCACCCCATAATACTGTTTAGAGCAAACCCAGCTAGTATTGTACTTAAAACCTACCTTGGGCATACACTTGCATTACTAATATATGAGGGGTCTGGGTTTTTGTTTTCTTTTTAATACACACCCACAGTCTAAATAAAGCCATAAATCACAATATGGTTTACCCCTTCATTCATATTTCATCTTGGGAAATTAAGACAACAGCATCTTCTCAACACAAAATGAGACACCGGATACTATGGCTTCAAAAGATGTAATATTACTGATATTAGCCAATCAGGGCAAATGTAAAATTTGAAATATCTTTGAATATACCCAAGAAAAAACATGAATAAGGGTTTTAAGTACTGAATATAATAAATTTGAAAATAAAAAAAAACTACTGTAGAAATATTAAAATCTCTGAAAAATCTCCTACTGTCACAAGACTTCACGTCAATTCAAAATCAGAAATACTCTTAATTTCCTTCTGCACTGTAATAAGTACATTTGGTATATACTTTTATGTTTATCTCAGTTTTATCTTTCCGATGAAGATCTTTCCAAGCTGATCACCAGGTAATACAAGAGATTGAATATGAAGAAGAAAAGAGCCATCAAATTAGATAACGTTCTCATCTGAAAGAACTGTAACATATGCCACTGAGACTATGAATAATTGGGTCAATTACTACACACCCAGAGGGTAGAAATATAATTTACACCCAACTAGAGGAATGCAATTAACATGGGTGGAGTAATCCTTCCTACCTAATCCTTTTATTATAAACACACAATGCAGCTGGACTTAAAATGTCAGAAAAAAGGGGTCTTGCTTTCCTGGCAGATCAAGATATTTGTGAGAGCTTAGTCAACAAACTGAGGCTAAAACTATATCTGGAAAGGTTTGTGAGCAATTTAAGGAAAAAGCAAGAATTTATAGTATATACACAGAGTACAATGATATAGTATATAGGATATAGATTACATGCTCCCTTAACAGCATGCTCACTACTATTTCATGAGACAAAGCATTTCTCCATTGACTGAATATGAATCACTAGAAATAAAAGACAAATTAATTCCGCGGGTGCTTCAAAGATGACAGTAAAGGGAAAACCTCCTCTTTGAGAGTCTTCCACCAATAATTAAAGGAGGACAAAATCGGACTTTGGAATTGAAACAAATGAGGCACAGATTTCTACACACTGAAGATGCTGTCACGTTTTATTTATATTCTGCAACTTAAATAGTTGGCTAAAGGCCACTCAGTAAGTGGCAAACCTTTTTTCCCCTAGCCCCATTCTGTCCACGTGTGATTAGAGAAAGATATTCAAAACTATTAAGAGATCCACTAAAGTTTGTCATCATGTAGTTTGGTAAAATACACACAAGGGTTTGCTCCCCGGGAAAGGTAGTAATATGAAAGCTGGTTGGTAAAATAGTTTAGTTAAAAAAACCCAACTATGACAAAAGAATAATTCACAGTATACTGATCTGCACTTTACCATAAATGATGAACAGTTTGGTTTGGAAGGGACCTTTAAAGGTCATACAGTCCAACACCCTCCTGCAACAAGCATGGACATCTTCAACTAGATCAGGTTGCTCAGAGCACCACTTAACCTGACCTTGACAGTTTCCAGGAATGGGGCATCTCTCTGGGCAACCTCTGCCAGTGATTCACCACCCTCATTATAAAGAATTTCTTCCTTATATCTAGTCTAAATCTGCTCCCTTTTAGTTTAAAAACATTTATCCTAATGTAACAGGCCCTGCTAAAAAGTTTGTCCCCATCTTTCTTATAAGCCCCTTTTGAATATTGAAAGGGCACAATAAGGTCTCCACAGAGCCTTCTCTTCTCCAGGCTGAACACCACCAACTCTCCACTCTCTCAGACTGTCTTCTTTACAGGAGAAGTGCTGCAGTCCTCTGATTGTCTTTATGGCCTCTGGACTCGCTGCAACAGGTCCATGCCCTTCCTGTGATGAGGACCCCAGGTGGGGTCTCACCAGAGCAGTGTAGAGGGGCACAAACACTGCTGCCCACACTGCTTTTGATGTAGCCCAGGACATGTTTGGCTTTCTGGGCTGCAAGTGCACACTGCCAGCTCCTGTCCAGCCTCTCATCCACCAGCACCACCAAGTCCTTCTCAGCAGTGCTGCTCTTGACCCATTCATCCCTCAGCCTCTATTAATACCAGGGGTTTCCCCAACCCAGGTGCATCACCTTGAACCTTGTCTTATTAAACTGCTTGAGGTTCCCAAAGGCCCAATTCTCAAACTTGTCCAGGTCCTCCTGGATGACCTCCTATCCTTCAGGTGTGTCAAAAGCAGCACTCAAATTTGCTGAGGGTGCACTCTATCTCACTGTCTGTGTCACTGATGAAGACATTTAATAACACTGGTCCCAACATGGACCCCTAAGGGACAACACTTGTCACTGATCCCATATGGACATTGGGCTGTTCACCACTACACCTTCTGGATGAGACTATCCAACCAATCCCTCATGCCCTAAACAGTCTACCCATCAAATCCATGTCTTTCCAATCCATGGGGGACTGTGTCAAGAGCCTTACAGAAGTCCAGATAAACATCTGTAACACTTCCTTTGTCCTCTGATGTACTCACTATTTCAGAAATAATTCAGACTGGTTTATGTTGAAATGTAGTTTTGTTTTTCTTAATTTTTTTTTATAATTGTGACAATGAAGTGTTAGAACTGTCATAAGGGTGGGAATGGGGGTTGGGCTTTCTGAGCAACAGTGACACATGAAGAGTTAAAACACAAGATAGGCAAAGATCTCCTGGGTTTCCTGTGCCATGCATCCACCGGAGCTCTGAGAATGCTGGGGCACCAATAAGAGCACTGAGCCAAGGCCATATTGACACTTAAATCATGTTATATTTCCAACTTTCCACAACTACAAGCTCACCTTAATGAAAGTATTTCCTTATTTTCAAATGTTCAATCATTATTATTCTTTAAATTCTGAATGAGCATAAGGTGGCTCTAGGCATCTTAAATTCTGGTCCAACAATATTTATGACAAACATGCAACCTCTTACCTTAAATCTCCTTCTTTCCACTGCAAAACATATTCTAGTTTTTTCCCCTCTGTCTCCATATGACTATAAAATACAACCTAGTTTTTATCCCATGACAGTTCTTATGAAAAGCCATAAACCAGTCCCCATATAGAGATGGTTGACGAAAGAACCGTAAGAAAAGCAGAACTTCATTAGGGAGATGTGGGCCACAGGACTGGAATGCACAGTCTAGATCTAGAGAAGACACATGAAAAGCAATGTCCAATCGTAACATTAGGGAGATATGTGCATTCAATTCTTTGTGATACAAGACTCTTCCTGCAGTCTCATGAAAATCATTTCTGCAGAAGCACATGAGGCATGTCCACATACCACAGAGGCTACAAAGCGTCCATAGTTGAGTAATGCACATCCTTGACATATTCAGACTTGACTGGTTATGACCTGAGCAACCTGAAAGACTTCAAAGCTGCATCTAACTTCAAGCTGGCCCCACTTGGAGTAAGAAATACACAACTCCGAGAGGTACCTTCCAACCTAAATTACACTAAGATTCTACATTGTCAAATGACTTATTTCTGTTTCACTCCCTGTGAAGAGCTCCTCATCATCAGTGCTGCATGGATGTTAATTTGCTCCTGGGTTCTCTTTTGGATCAAACCAATAAGCTCATCAAAGGTGAAACCTGGGTGAACTAACTGAAGATAACTGGCTCCAATGACCTCTCTCTGTAGCCACTATGGATGAGAGATCAGGTTTGTCTACGTCCATGTTGCACAGTCCACCCTGTTACCATGCAGTTATTCTCAAATACACCCACATGAACTCATACATACAACCAGGGCACACAACATGTACCCTGCTCCATAAGGTATAAATTCCCACCATCAGTATTTATGGGATCAGTGTTTAAGTGCTCATCTTACAAAGAAAAAAACAAAAAAACCAACCAAAAACAGAAACCCCAACACATTCTTAATTGAAGTTGGCAGAAAAGACAAAGATAAGTTTTAACTTGTTAGAAATCTCAAACTCACTTATCTACAATCTTAAATTTGAGCTGCTAGTATGAATCAAAGTCCAAGTTGCTCTGTCTTCACTGCTACCTCTATCTAAAATTAGGATAATAGCAGAGCTTGCAACACAGGCATTCTCTGTTTCAAGAATTTTGCTCTGTGCCATCCTAGTGGTCCTAATTTCTTTCATCTTTTTCAGTTCTGCTTTCTAAAAACGAAGTACATGTCACACAGTAGTTAAGAACTAAAGCAACTCAGATGAAGCAGGAAAATTAAGGCCAGTTACAATTTGAAGTACAACCAAAGCACAGATGCACCCACAACAACCACTTCGTAAAATCTTTTTACTCATAAGATAGGTCCTGGAAACCTTGGCTAAAAGTGACTCTCAGTTTTGATCTCTAAACTTAACATTATGAGATGCAACAAATCTACATGCCACAAAAAGAATGCAAATCTATGCACTTGGGAACCTACACTTAAAATCTATGAGAGGGCACAGTAAGTGCTGTATCTAAATCAAGGAAAGATCAAATCTCTAAACTTGCTGTAAAGAGATTTTTCCTAGCTCTAGAAAGCAAGCTCTAACTCATGTGGGACTTGGCCTAGACTATAGGCCAAAATTCCTATTCTTATGAAATGAATCACTTGAGATATTTGAAAGAGTAGAAGAGGTCAATCACTCAATTAACAGCACAGCAGCTTCTAACTGCAAAGAGGCTCCCATATAATACAGATGCAGAGGAAACAAGGACACTAACTGGCAAGTAACCCTTTATTCCTAGCTATGTCATAAGGAGGAAAGTAAACCTAAGGTGTGTCACCTAAACAGAAAAAAAAATCACAGCTTGGCTTAACACACGTTTTTCCTTTTGAACTTAACAAGGCATTAATATACTTAACATACCTGAATTTGGATACAGGCAGACATCATTGATACCGTGTTCTGGCTCCATTGAAGTAAATATTTTCCCCTGAAATCATAGGAAGAAAATAAATTACAAAGAATTCCAAACAGTATAATTAAATTCAGTAAATCTAAACATTAGGAATAACCATTATAGAAGCTAAGAAACATGATGAAATAAAGATGGAACAGATTTTGCAGAACAATAAAATGTTATTAAATATCTGAACAACACACAAGAAACTCAGTATTGTATTTTATCTCTGATCCAATCTCTTACAAGGAAGCACAGGCTACTGGTAATTGAAGATACAGCAATGTAGAGTGACACCTCTGATTTTTCAGCTCACACTTGTGTGTTGAAAACATACGTGTCAAATTTACTTTATTATGCAAAAGGGGGGCTGAGGTCTGTAAGTTCCTGGTACAATGTCAGTGTAACCCTCACTTTATTCAGCTCTGAATGTGGTAGTTTAAATCATTTTACTTTGATAAGTATGATTGGCTGTAAAAACAGATTGGGAGTGGAATTTGAATTTGGAGCTTGGTTCTTCCACCCTGTTAATGTCTACATGAAATGAGATATAGCTCAGCACTTTATTTATAATTTATAAACTCAGTATTAAAGAGGTCTTAATATAAAAGTAGTACAGCATCCAGCGATATCTAGCTTAGATCAGAACTGAAGCCATAAAGGCTATTTAAGAAAGAGGTAAAAGCAGGAAACAACATTCTCAAAATAATAAAAATTGGAACAGAGTCTGAAAAACCCAGACAAAATACAGGTGCTCTTATAAGCCAACACACAAGACAGCCAGCAAAGGAAGAGTCTCTAAGAACTGGGCCACATAATCTGAAGCATGAGAGTACATGCCTACACAGCTCTAAATGAAGGACAGGAACAGAGCAAATTTTGATCCTGTTCCTCTTTTTTCTTTCCCTGCAGCAATCCCACCTACCTTTCTGGGCCCTTCCTTTCCCTCCCAGTTACATGCTGTTACCCCACCCACCTCTGGTCTCTCCCTGATGATTAAGAAGAGTCCTCCTCCACCCCGGACTCAGCAGACAAAAGCCTCGTGCTCCCCACCCCAAGGCACGTCTCAGCATGGGGCTATTCTGGTATCAAAGCCATATGCTCTCCACCCCAAAGTCTGCCTCTGCAGTTGGTTCCCAGCCAGAGATAGTCAGGAACCAGCATCTAGGAGAGGTGGAGCCAGCTGGAACATACTCTAGGAAAGAGTCCAAAGCTATCTTTGCCTTCCAGCAGTAAGAAACCCTCCCTTTTCCCACCAGAGGCCACCTGACAGTGTTTCATTCTTAACAAGGGAAATATACATACCTAGGAAAAATGGAGAGAGGCCACTACAGATGTTTTAAATAATAACCAATAATTTATTTACTCTTTCAAACAATAAAAATTAACTGCAGAGGAGCTTACAAAATACTGCTTGAGATCACAGAAAAAATAAGAGGCTGTTGAAAGTTCATGAAGCAACACAATACTGAAATGACTGCCTAAAAGAACCAGAACAGAAACCTCTACTACAACTGCTCTTGGTATGCTTCACTATCAAGTTAGAAAAGCAGTTAGATGGAGCATGTTTTTTAGAAGGAATACAATGACTATACATAGGCCCTCAAACCAAACCAAGTTACAATAGTATTACTGCGAATCTCTTGGTAATGTATTTTGTGCAAGCTCCACTGACCGAAAGATAAGAAGAACAACAGCATAATAAACTGAAAGAACGTGATATGAAAATTAGAGATTTCAATTTCACTTAAAAGGTGCAAAAGGTAGGGATAAAGACGTTGCCTACTGCAATATATGCCATTAATATGGCGCTGTTATTTGGATCTAGGCATAGTATCTCTTCAGTATCCAAACAAGTTTCTGTGAAAATAAGCAGCACCTGATTTTAATAGGCCATTAACTAACTGATCTACCTTTGAAATTAACCTCTTTGAGCAGGGAATTGAAATGAACATGTTTTCTGTAATGAAAAACAGTAACTGGATGTATTCAATCACACTGTGAGAAATATACAAACCAGGGCAATGGCTAAGATACTACTTTTTATGTTTAAATCCTTCTACTGAAAGCCTCTTGGCCAGACATGTACAAACAGCTAAAAATGCCCTAAGACTATATCTTTATATCTGACAAGCTGTTGAATAACTTTCCAGATGTTAATGCAGTCAGACAGGACAAAATGGTATGTAAATTATGACACATTAAAAACTCAACTTCCTACACTGAACTTTAGCTTTCTTATTCAAGCTGTACAAAAAAAATCCCAAACAACAAACAAACAAAAAACCCAAATAAAATAAAATTTAAAAAAATCTGAATTCAACAACCTGAAACCACTTACTGTATCTTTGTTCCACATTTTTATGATTCGAGAATCCGCAGAGATAATTAAATCCAACTGATGCTGAAACTGAATTGATTTAATAGGCAGGCCGTAGTGGTGATCTTTGACTATTAATGGATTACTAGACCGGAGATCATATAATAAAACCTTGAAAAATAAGAGACAGATTAAATTTATAACATTGTAAGATCATGAAGAAGTCACACCCACCAGATCTTCACTAAATATTTAACTAAACTTGAGATTTTGATACTTAAATATATGGAGAGAATTTACATAAATAATTTTAAATTCTGGAAACAACTTCTTAAGTGAGCTCAGTTTATTCTGGCAATGTGTTTTAACCTCAGCATGCGTCAATCTAGAAAAATTAACAAATTTAGGACCTCACCATCTTTCTAAAGACTTTTTCATTTCTATTGAATAAAATGAGCCATTTTCAAGACTCTTAGTATTTTATAATTACTAATATTTCACTTTCAGATTCTTGTGCTGTTCTTACATGATTTAAAAGTTCAGATTCTCTTCCAGATTTAGTATCACTTTCTCTCTGTGAAATTTATGTTAAGTTTTCCTTAACTTTATGTTAAGGAAAGTAGAGAGTACAGGCCCCATATTCGAGAAACCTGTACTTCTATCTCAAAAATTTCTTATGAGACTTGAGAAAGACCCTGAACTGCTCAGATATACCAATAATTTTTGGGACAAATAACATTAGTAGTCTGTTTAATCATAAACACCAACTCAAATAAAACTTGTCTGACATGTATAGTAACATTGCAAACACAATTCTTACACATGTATCTGCTCTTGAACAAGCTAGTTGACTAAACCCATGAAAATACTAATGAAGGCAGGACATAATCCCCACACCTCACTTTACAAATATGATGGCAACAATGAAGAAAAAAATTGAAATAATTCTTCATATCAAGATAAGACTGTAAAAGCAACAGCTGAAAGACAATCACTTCTGCTTCTTTAGCCACCATCAAGATAAGGGAGACCACACATTGAGATAGTACAGACAGTCTCAAAAAGCAGCAACTTCCCCACATACTTAAGTCATAAGAAAACTGCAAATGTGAAGTTATGCAGTTTGTAGGTTATGATGATTTTAAGTGGTCCCTAGAGTATTCTGAAGAGAAAGACCATTAGACAAAATTAAAATGCAGTTGAAGTATGACTATTGCTACTCTATGCACATAATTTATAGTCTTATAAATACTTGCAGTAATAGATACATTACAATAAGTGCACTCAATGTATGATAGACTTGGATTGGGAAATGCAAGGACAGGATCTTCTAAGAACCATGGTAGACGAAGTTAAATCTACCTGTCCAGTAGATGTTCCAACAGCCATATTCAAAGCTCCATCAAATGTCAGTGCTGAAATGGATGGCAAACCCTCTATCCTGCAAAGCACAATGCATATAATTAGATGTTCTTCAATAAAGGCTGCAAATAATTTTTTATTTTAAAAATAGCTAAGATAATTATTGTAAAATAACTTACAGGTATCACTCAGAAATACTACTTCAAAAAACGGCACTGCTTACATTCACAATTTGTGTTTGTATTGAAAAAAGCCACTACTACTCAGATCAATGACTAAGAGAACTGCTTTATAACTAAGAAAACTCTTTATTCACTCTAGGAATGAGAAGACCATGGGCAGGTCACTTTAATGCAAAGCAGGATTAATTTCTAAAAGCAGAACTTCTGAAAAAAACCAAAAAACACACTTTGAAAAGGTAGCCTTTACTCACTCTGTGTCTGCTGTCATGCTGCTTAAAGCACAGTCCAACAGCCCAACTCGATTTCTAGTTCTTGGATCCCAGCATTCCACTTTACCCTAAACAGTTTAGAAAATATGGTTCAAACATATGCAACAGATGCCTGGTATTCTAAAAATGTTTAAATAAAATTATAAATTATTATTTAATATATGAATAATTAACAAAATTTCCTAGGTTGACACAAGTTGTTCTAATAATGACATACATGCTGCAAACATTTCATTTCTATTTTTTAAAATGTGATCTGAATCACAACAATTAATGCTAATATTCCTAAGATTAATAGGGTACACATGCTAGCTAATTTCTACAGATGGTTACACTGCAAAACAAGATAACATTATTTTCTCTCCTGTCTGCAAAATCTCACGCATCTAAGCAACCAAGTAACTCAGATATTTTATCTGCACTACACTCTAAAAAGTCATCTTAACATATCTATATCTAACGTAGTAAATGAGATCAAATTAACAAATTAGGTTTATGATTTCTTCTTATCCTCATGCAAACTAATATAAAAATGATACAAACACTACTGCCCTTTTCATAGAAGAAATGCAAACATTTACCTCAGCTGTCCCCATAGCAAACAAGAAGTGTACAGGATTTATGTCACAGACATTACTCTCTCTAAAACAGAAAAAAAAGCAAGTTTAATGACCTCAGAATAATTTAATACATGAACAGCTAAAAAGATTTCTGTAATCATGTACAGTATTGCTCAGCCTGGAAAAGCAAAAGTTGGAGGGAGGGACAGACAGCCACATAATAGCAGCTTCTGATACTTCAAGGGATGCAGGGGTAATATTTTTAAGTTGTAAGAATAATTTAAGCACTGGAATGGGTTGACTGTAGAGGCTGGGAAATTTCCATCTTTGAAGTTTTCAAGACACCCCTGGGAAAATTCATCTGAATTCCGTGTAACCATGCCCTGAGCAGGAGCCTGGCCTCTGAGGTTCTCTCCAGCCTGAATGATTCTACATTTCTCTGCCCATATCCACCACATACCACCAAGCCTTGCCATATTGCTCTGCTCCACTATATTCTTAAAGAATACAACAGACAGGAGGAAATGGCCTCAAGTTGTGCCAGGTGAGGTTTAGATCAGATATTAGGAAAATTTTTTTCACTGAAAGGGTTGCCAAGCATTGGGACAGGCTGCCTTGGGAAGGGGCATCCCTGGAGGTGTATCTGGCAATATGGTATAGTGGTGCACTTGGCAGTGCTGGGTTAATAGTTGGATTTGATGATCTTAGAGGCCTTTTCCAACTTAAATGATTCTGGTTTTAATTATGTCAAAAGATCTTTCTGATTACTTATGTTCTAAAGCACACATCTCCAGCATATTCTGTCTGATGAATGGTCTTTCTCCTTTCTCTCACCCAAGTATCCTGTTTCTCAACAGGGCACCCCAGAGCCCCATGTTTCAACAATTCTTCCAAAGTTGAAATATTTCTCTCCACACCACTTCTACCAATGCTTTCCAAATTCTTCTACCCACCTTTAATTCTGTAAGTCATCCAACTCCCCCACCTCAAAAACTTCTCACAACTTTAAGCCTCATCTCTGTAATCCAAATTTTACACTACACCCTTATCCCTCCCACTCCAAAATTTCCGCCTTTTTTGTCCTGTTGCTCAGTTCCTTATTGTGCCTTCCCAAATGCTTGTCCATTAAGCTATTCTACCCACTGAATACCAGCTGTTGCCCACCAACTAGCAGCTTTATCTAGTCAAGTCTGGTTTTCTCATCTACCTCTCCCCACATGAAAGAAGCTCAGTTCCTGTTCTAGTACAGTTTTCAAAAGAATCAGACACATGCTAGAGATATAAAAATTCTCTTTGGGCTACTCCAAGAGCAGAAGGACAAAGACATGTCTGGGAAAGTACATACCCTGTGGGTAGATCTCTATATGATGGCTAAATTGAGCAGTAATGACAAAGTTTTAATGAAATGTTCTTAAGATCAAGTTGTATAATGCCTATTATAAGTCCATATTAAGCAATTTAAAAATATCCAAAAAGAAAACTCAATTAAACATGAAAACTGGAACAAAAAAATTACAGAACATAAAATGAAATGAGACTCAGCATATGTTCCCTTTCAACCCTGCAATGCATTTGGGCAGTGTTCAGAGATAGAACTGATGGTGAGCATGCTAGTAGTCTGCTTCCACCTGGTGGAAGAAGACAGATACATGCCATGCATTACAGATAACTTACGAAGCTTCAGTTTGCAGGGAGTTCAGAAATCTTCCTTGTTCCAGATTTAGCCTGTATACTTCAGAACTACAAAATAAAAATCCAGAATCATTCCTGCTTCTTACAAATAATGAAAAGCACTGCTCTAACTTCCAAGGCATTGTAAAGATTCTTATTCACGGCCTAATTTTGCCAAAACCCCAATTTTCAAAATTCACAATCTACAACAAGCTAAATCTATACCTCAGTGTTAAAAATATTTATTTATTACACTTCAATATCCTACCAATTACTATTTTTCCAGGGAAAGGATACATTAGCTCATTTCTTAAGATTTTTTAACTTCCTATGATTTAAGCTACATCTTGAATTTCTACTTATTTTGTTTGAAACCCCAAAGACCTGATTTTATTTTTACTATGCCTTTTCACAACCTCAATTATATGATGTAACTCACACCTTACAGCAATAAAATACCAACCAGGAGAGAAAAAATTATTTAATTTTCCTTACATAGATGCTAAACACTTTTTAGAATAGTCCACTGACCTGCAATTTTTAATACAAATTTGCAAATATATGATGTACCTGGTTTAAGAATCAAAGAATTAAGAAGTCTTAAAACAGCACAGGAAACTGAATTATTTCCCACATTTTCCATTCTTCAAAGTGTCCATTATTAATCTGGATGGAATTGCCACTTCTTCAGTTTTTTAACTTTTCTAGTATTTTAATGTTCATTTCATTCTTGGAAAACATTGCTAACAAAAGTGAAACAAAATAATCCACTTATTACCTTGCTCCTACAAAATACAGGTCACAGGATGGATAGTGATAAGAGAAATCTCTACCAAATTTTGGTATTCTTGTCCTGTAGTAATGGCCATGTTGTGAATGAAACTCCACAAACCTGCCAGACTGCAAGAAGACAATCTAAAAATAAAACAGAAATCACTGAAACAGAGAAACGACAACAATCTCCCCAGTGATTTTTTTTTTCAAGCTCACACGGGCTCGTCACAACTTAAACAAGTTCTATTAAAGTGATAGAATCAACTAGTGCTTCACCATTTTCACTAGCCATGGCAAAGAGTTCTGTTGATATACACTGTATGAATATGTGTATGGGGTGTATGTGACACCCTGAAAGTGAATCTGCAATCACAAACAGTACAGTTACGTCAGTATTCTGCTGCACCAAAATTAACATCTGCATTTCTTTCAAGTTACTAGCTAGTAATTCCTTCCAGGCAGGATGCTGCACAGACATCAGCATGTTCACAGGTACTCAGCACATGAACTACACAATCTGATACAGTGTTCCAATAAATGACACCAAGGGTCTTTCTGCATTTTTGTTGTTTGCTAACTGAGGAAGAACATTGTTTCTTTCTGAAACTTAGACAAAACATTTCGATTCTGCAAAAACCCCACAGGAAGGAATTACCAGAGGGTTTGATCTGTACCAGTAAATAAAGTAGGCCAGAACCTGCTGTTATAGTCCTGATGGCAAATTAACATATCCACATGAACGAATCCTTCCCTCTCCAGAGCCAGTACTACCCACCCACCTGTTACACTCACACTGTACCTCAAACCATGCCCAGGCATTGTGAGATGGAGGCAGAGCTGATCTGGCTGAAACTCATGCCACAAATGATACAGATAATCACAGGCTAACTTTTGACTCTGTCCCTCATCCCTGTTTAGCTTAGATTAGAAATATGCTAGTTCAGTTTAACATGTGTAGTACATGCATTTCTATAAACAGTAAATAATGAAAATTTAAAATTTTCTACTGCCGAACTACATTGTTAGCAATACAAATAAGGATAGGAAGCTCAGGAAGGGTGACATACAAAAGTTACTTTAAATCTGTCATCTTTATTTACATATCTGTATATTCCTCCCTTAAAAGACATGGGAAAATACTGACCTGGGCTAGCATTTCATGCCTATTTAAGTACCTCCCTACTTGTGGGCTTTTTCTGATATCAGAAAGCCTAGTGTTTCAACTTTCATTCATGCTCATCTTGGTCCAAGACTAAGCAGAGTATCATCTTTCAGAAGCATAACTATGATTTAAACAATGATGTTGTTCATATACATCCCAGTCATTCCTTTGTGTGCATAATGCCTTTTTGCTTTTAACTGGAGGTTTTTAAAGCAAGCAAACTTCTTTACTTATCTGTTTGAAACAATGCCCAGATCAAATCTTTTCTCTATTGTCATTGCAGAAGAAGAAGTATCTGCACTTTCATGCAGTACAAAGCTACATAAACTATAAGAACACAAAACTAAACCCTATTTAATTTAAAAATGTCAGTATTACAGGCTCTTAGTTCACTACAGTAAGACATCACCTGTTACAAGGTAGAGAGAAGATGCAGTTTGTTTTCAATGAGAAAAGTGAATTTTCTTCTTATCCACTCTACCTCCAACAAGATTTCAGGAAGTTTTTGACAGCTACCAAAAACATACAAATATTCTGCTAATAAGTGTCTAATAGTCTCCAATAATTTTCTATATTAAGATAAATTTCCACAATATTGGACTTGAATATGTTTGTGTCCTCTTTCATTAGCAGTGGATACAACTCACCGTAAATTGTGTTTGTCTCTCCTTCTTCTTTAATTAGTTTTGGTCAGAGAAAACTATAAACTAAGGTTAGCAAAAGGACCACTGGTGTGTAGCAAAAATACTAAGTGAAAGTAAGTGTCTTCTCACAAAAGGCCGTGGAAAAAAAAAGATATCATTCTCTCTCAAGTCTAAAACCTATTCCAAGTATAAAATTTTTAAGTCTAAAACTTAGGAGAGCACAGAAGGGTAACAGGCCTTATGGTATCAATATGAATGAAAGACAACTGGTGCTCTCTCCATGAAAATGACCTTACAGGGATAGCAGGAACAGAAATGGAGTGACGATGCTTTCCCTGGCTACAAGAGCGTGAGGCAGCATGTCCGGTGTTGAGCCCTCCAATTCAAGGGGGATGCTGAGAGTCATCAAGAGGACTACCAAAACAGAAAAGGGATAGAACACAAAGCGTACAAACCCCCCCTCTTTGCAGTACCAACAGTAAAAATTTAAGATTTTCCTGGGCAGGTTGGACAGGAACTAAAAATTCTTTATGACAAGGCAGTGCAGCATTGCAACAATTTATTCAATAAATTTGTGGAACCATCACCATGCTTGCAGATTTTGACAGAACTGTTCAAGCAGTAAGTGACATCTGAAGGTCCAATTCGAATCAATACTTTCATAATTCTAAGAATTTCAAGTGTAATTTCTCAAATATTGTTCCTTCTTTCTAACATGTCCACAACATCATGACAGCTAGTTGAAATTATTTTTCTTTCTGAGGATTTGTTAAGTTCTAGGAAAATAAAATTGAAAACAAGGTTGTATTAAGTTGAGAAAGCAGGGTTGCAGTCCAAAATATAGTACCAGTAATAGTTAAAAACACACAAGAGCTGTTCTCCTCAGAACCAACCAGAAAAATATTTGAAAACACAGCATCTTGCTCAGTCGCACAAACAACTGTTTGGTCTGTACAACCAGAAACATTTTCCCACAAACAAGTACAGTACAGTACCAGCTGTGACCTTCTGTTACTTAAATTCATGCATTTCCTTGGAAATCTCACAAGGAAACATTTTGAAAAGCTAGAAAGGTAGATGTTCTTGTCTCTAAATAGAGTATTTAATAAAACAAACCTGTACCTGAAATGGTAAGGTCTCTTCACAGAAAAAAAGTAGTAAAATAAATACCTAACAAAACAAAACAAAGTTTTGTCCTAATGAAACTACATATGCTTAAATTTCATATTTAACTGTACTGGGCCTAAAAAATGGCTCATGGTCCTAAGAACTCAGGTGATTCCTTCAGGTACAGCACTTCATTTAAGAAATAATTGAAAATTAAAAAAAAAAATTAAAAAGGACATTAGTTCTCTTCACAATTTTTTCCTCATTCATATGTCTACAACACTGACAAATCAGGTTATTAACTTACCTATAAGCTATCCCACACCTCAAAAATGGTGCATCTATGTACCACTTATCACACAAGATTGTGACTAAACGTTATCCAACAAAGAGCTAATTCCATTTTTCACCTTATTTTGTTTGTACGGTAGATCATTATTTGAAGTTTTTCTATACTACACAAAAGACTTTAAAAGTGGTAAAGCAAATTATAATACAAAGAGACAAAGAAAACAAACAACATTTTAAAGGTACAAAAAATGTTTATCTTGTTTGCTTTTTAAAAAAAACTTTTCTGTTCCAAAAGTTGTGTTGATTGACTGCCTTTACTATATATGAAAATGCATTTTAATATACATACTAAACAATTTTTTCATTTATACATTGAAAACATTAGACATACCTTTGAGTAATCATCTGATAAAATCTCAAATGTAACCACTAGAGGAGAGAGCAAGAGAATTTTAAGTCAACTAAGTAAGCAAACTTATTTGCAAACATTGGCATAAATCCTGAAAACATTTACACTCATGCTAATCTTTAGTCATGTAAGTATTCCCCACAGGTGTCAATGCATAAAGCAGGCACTGTGATAAGATCTTTAATTATACAGCTTCATTTGCAAACCAGTAAGTAGTTTCTAAAACTTTAGAAACATATGAAGCATCTTGTAATCTTTTTATCGTTCTTGTATACTTGACATGTTCCTCAACACAATGCTCAGCCATGTATTTTTTCATTGGTGCAGGGAAGGTCTAATCAAATGGTTTTTGGTGAGTGTGTGGTCCATGAAGCTGTGGTGCTCCACCAAAGGTGATAAAATATGACATGAATCTGGACACATATACATAAAGTGGCACATGACAGTCCTTCTAAGGGGTTAGCTCTTCCACAAAAAAAGTTCTAAGGTCAAAAAAAAATCACAAATGTGGAAGTTACTATTCATACTCAACACTGTAACATACTGAACTTTGCCTAGTTTTAAACGAGCTGTGTTGAGAACATTAGGGAGCAGCTGCTTCAGCTAAATTGGTTCCATTTAAATGAGATAACTCATTTAAAGTTACCTGAAGTGACTCTATACTATACTTCAAATTAAACATACTTCTGCAGTCTAGTAAGATGCCAGTTAAAAAAAATTTACTTTAAGCTCTAATTACCAGCAAGCATTTAGTATTACAATGACTCCATCTTTCAAAGTGGGTCTCACTCTTGCCACACCTCCTCTCCCCAGTCTCTCTGAAACCCTGCCCTACCACCTCCCCTGTTACTGTATTGTAGCACTGTTCCTTCACCCTAAATGACTCCTTGCAGTCCTGAGTCCCCCATGCCTCTACCCTTTTCCTGAGCTAACTCAGCAGTTCTCAAGTTTTAATTTTCACAGTAGTTTTGCACACATCAGAGTTAGTTCTGTTCTTCTGTAATGAATATGCTTATCCCCTCATTATTTTAGTCATCCCTCTATTCCAGTTTTCAGTCATATCGGTCGTCTTAAAAAAAAACAACAAACAAATGAACAAACAAACAAACCCAAACTTGGGTACCCTAAAAAACTCTCCTAAAATTCTCCCTTTCCCACTGTAGCTCCTTGCTGCAGATAGCTCCTTCCTTCCCTTACCACAGTTGTTCTCCCTCCAAAATAATAGCAAACAAGGTGTCATTAGGGCCTTGGCCATGCTACCATCTATTCCTAAGTACCTTGTTTCCAAGAAAACAAACAAAAAACCCAAACCAGACAAACAAAATTCCCCCTCAGGGAATTCCCTTTACCCTGTAACTCATGTGCTGAGCTAGGGCTCCAGGGAGAAAACAAGAGCGATCACAGTGCATTCGCTTACCTGACTGCTTCACAGAAGGGGAAAGAAGGGAGATCTGGCAACCACCCAGCCACTGTACCCATGTCACATTCACTAAACAGAACACAGACTTCAGCCACATTCACCCCCTGAGCCCCACAGTTACTGCCTCAAGGTAAATCTTACATTCCTCACACCACTCACTCCAAGAGGGGAAGAACTCTGAAGTGGGATGACAAGGGAAAAATAGAGAGGTAAAGACTAGGCTATGTTTCACTCCAGATTCTTGTGTTCCCCTAAAGTACATTCTGTCCCCTCAGCATAGGGAGAAAAATTTGTACTTGAGTCCAACCTGAATTATGTATGAAAGACATCTTGTAGTAACAGCCATAGTTCATACTAACCTTCAGAATCTAAGCATCTTTCAAATTTTTGGGATAACTGATAGGTATCGAAACAGCGGACCCTTGGCTTGTAAGTTCCTGAAACAATAATTTGATGTTTAATTTAAAATAAAAAATGAAACCAAAAGGTAATATTAAACCATTTTTTAAAAACATATAGTATCTCACATATACAGACTTTACTGTATTTCTACCATAAATATTCTGATCTTCCCAAAGCCTCTGTGACTGGAAAAATATGCCTCTTAAGAACACAAGCTTATGGCTTGATTTTTGTCTTTGGTGCTTGCAGACACCCTACTTGTATGCAGGTTCTTCTGATTACCAGGTATATCATAACAGAATTAATAATAACTTCCAGTAAGTCTGAAAGGCCATGGCTCCCTATACTATTAATGCCTACTAAAGTACTCATGTTTGGGTCCTGCTTTGACAGTTACAAAATGCAGCATTATCCTCCATCCTATAAAACAACACTCAAATAATGATATTCAGAAGTTATTTAAAGCAAATTTACATACATACAATAAAAATAATTCAGAACTTAGTTTTTAACTGTATTATAAACAGATTTGTTTTTATCTGTGTTATAAACCCCAGTGGCAGGGAGGTTGGCCTAGATGATCATCCAAGATCCCTTCCAACTCAAACCATTCTATGTTTCTAAGAATTCTGTATTCTAAACAGAACTGGCACCCCTACCAAGACAGCCATTCTATCACACCTTAAGAGTAAACTTCCAACACTTTGTTCAGTGTTACATTAAAAAATGAACTCTTATCAATTCTACCTGAAACCCTAAGTCATTCTGCAGTCAAGATTTTCTAGGACTTCTGGCCTCTGCTACAGAGAGACGCTTTCTTAACTCACCAACTGCCATAATATACTGTCCATCTCTTGATACCTTAATCTTTGTGCTAACTGTGGGCATTTCAAAGTCTTGAATAAGTTCAATTCTTCTACGGATATCTATAAGGAAAAAAAATTCCAAAGTTAGCACAATTGTATCAGTCCAAAAAGCTATAATGGTTTCTTAAGGAAGCATGTTGAGCTAACTGAATATAAAGAATACATTTTAAAGATATTTTATCTTTTAAACATCTTAACTAACACATTATAAGCAGATTAACAGTCTGTTAACACTGAGAAGCAGGCTAGCTCTGTGCCAAGTAAATTACTATTCTGAGGTAACTATAACAAATTATTATATAATATAGTAGCAAATATTCATCACACATTTTACACAGTTAACTCCATTCCATCCCCTGTTAACTGTGCATTTTTCTCTTCGTTAAGTTTCTTATGCAACACTTCCTACGCTTCCAAATAGTCATTTTTATTTTGCATGACAAGTTACGGCTAAAATGATTAAATTTGCATTCTTACATTAGCATAGTAACACAGAGGAGTTTACAGTCTGACTTTATCATAAGCCACACATGGAATTCATCCATCAGGTTTCTGTACAATCCACAAGCCAAATATTTTAATGTCTGAAATTTAAAACATCACTGGTGTTTTCTGTTCCGATAAAACTATATAAAAAGTCATAATAACTATTTGTAGCTTTAAATTTGTAGTGTTTAGAATATGAGCTAGAAATAACTTCCTCGTATCAGTGAAGTTTCTGCTCTGGGCCTGAATGTTGTGTATGTGTAAAGCTGAGGACCCTGCGAGGGGAAAACTCACCCACATCTTTCTTCTGTAAAGCTCTTTTCTTCCTGTCTGAAAGCCACTGCAAACAAATATGTACATCAGTCTTAAGCTCATTATTCATACAGGAACCTGAGAATCATTTAAAGTTTATCCAAGCATTTGAAGTATAAGACATTTATTTAGCCCGCTCATTCTTTTTCTCTTGATTATTTTACAAATTTCCACTGTAAAGTTTAACGATTGCACACCGAGGCAACTTACAAAGTCGTGCTGCTTACGGGTCTGTGGAACAACAGCCCTACATTCAGAGAATTAACGCACTGAAGCTGCATTTTTAGTTTAAAGAACACTTATAGCCGTTTTTCGGTGAGGACGCCCAGCAGGAGCGCACATGGGCCGGGCCGGCCGGGCCGGGGCTCAGCCCAGCGCCGGCACCGCGCGGTTCGAGCTCCCGCTGGGGGACTCGGGACGAGACGGGCTCGTCCCTCCCCGCCGCCCTCACCTCCGGGAGGCTCCTGCCGGCGCTCAGGCTGTAGATCTTCACCTCGTTGAGGCTGGAGACCTGCATGGCCGCGGCCGTGCCCGCCCCTTCCCGGGCTCAGGGGAAGCGGAAGGCGGGATCGCTTCCGCCGGCTCTGCCTCCCGGCGGGCGGGCGGGATCGGCGGCGCTGCCGCTCCCTCACTCGGGGAAGCAGCGAGGGAAGCACAGCAAACCTGCGGCACAGCAAGCTCTGCTGGCCCCGCAGCTCTCAGCGAAACAGCTCCGCTGTTGCGGCTTCCCGCGGGAAGAGCCCGGTCTGTCCGTCAGGCAGGCTGTGGTGCCATCGTGTCCCTGAGGCGGGTCGTGGTGCCACTGAGGGGTCCACCAGGCAGGCTGTGGTGCCATCGTGTCCCTGAGGCGGGTCGTGGTGCCACTGAGGGGTCCACCAGGCAGGCTGTGGTGCCATCGTGTCCCTGAGGCGGGTCGTGGTGCCACTGAGGTGTCAGCCGGGCAGGTCGGGGTCCCATCAGAGTGTGCTTCTGACAGGCTGTGGTGCCAGTGAGGTGTCCATCAGGCGAGTCATGGTGCTGTTGCCTAAAATCGGCTCCTAAAAGAAACCTCAGAGACTCAATTTTGTGAGTTTTAGGCAGCAGGCATTCTTTATTATGATGCGCTGCATGATCACAGCAGGCCAAGTGCCCTGGGAATCAGGCTCGCCAAAGTGCACCCAGAGGTATCTTCACTACAGCTTATATGTCTGCATTATATGATTATTCTATTTTCATTCCCCGCATTCTTGTTACATATTTATGACACTTCCCAACACTTATTGGCATATATACATATCTTTATAAGGCCTATGAGGGGCTTCATCAGGAATCTGGTGGTCATCTATGGACCCCCAAAGTCCTAAGTGACTGCCTTATGCACTTCTTTAAGACAATACACCTGATTATAGATTAACTTGGTGTTGCTTGGCTGGCTACCTTAATTCCCTCTTCATTATTTCTTTACTTTGCTTGGTTAGTCCCTTTAAATCACTTGGCTCAGCTATATGTAGTTTCTATGATACATTCCACTGCAAAAACTAATCTTGTTTCATCTCAAAACTCAGATACCAGTGCTACTGAGGTGTCTGTCAGGCCAGCTGTGGTCCCATTCTGGATGATCTCCATGTGAAATCAGGAAGGCTGGAGTTGTTTGGCAGCCTTGATAGAGGAGCTTAATTTTCTCAGCCTGTAGTGAACTGTGTCCATTATCCGTAGAAAACAGTGAATCCAGGATTTGGCTCATCAGAACCTTGCCAGCAACCATAAAAAAAAAAAAACAACAAAAAAAGATGAAAATAATTCCAACGTTTCCTGTTCCAATTTACAAAAGACTGAAATAATCTATTATCCAATCTATACACATCTTAAAGAAACAATGAAAATTGCAACTAAATTCTTAACAATACATAATTCTGGTATAAGATGCAAACAGAAGCTGTTTCAAGTAGGTCTTATGCATGGACCCCTGGATGATGTATTGCAACAATGATGATACCAATGATCATGACCAGAATGGCCTCTATTGTAGTTTGTATTAGAGGCTGTTATAGCTGAGATTCCTGGGAAATGAGCACACCTAAATATAGATGCCTGTGTGGGTGCTGGGTGTTTAAGCTCCGGTTTCAGAGGGTTCAGTTGCTTAAATGTAAGTTCTCTAGTGGCATTTGAGATGCTGTATAGTGTCCAGGGCACCTAGATGGGGCTGACACAAGACCTATGGAAAAACCATGCCCTCCTGCAGCATAATCTGGAGGCCAGGGAGGATATACAGAGACATCTCTGGTGGCACTAGAAGCTGTGGCAGCTGAATCTCATCCCTGGTAAATGCAGTTAATGAAGCGTGAGGAGTGTGGTGCAGCAGCCACTGGGTGTCTTCTGTGGAGTGAGCTCCATCATGTCTAGGTTCCACCACCTAATTAGAGCATTGTGAGCTGTTAATAGACATTTAAAGCTGAATTCACTTGACAGCTATTCAGAATGTCCTAAGGAATCCCAGGCATCCACACGGGCAGTTGGTTGGTGTGACAGAAGGCCAGTGTTACCCTGAAACAGCAGCTGAAGGCTCAACAGGATGCTCCAGGGCACCTCAAAAGGCATTCAACAGAGTCAGGAGAAAGAATTCCTAGAGATATAAAACAGTGGAGATTCTTACAGTCAGGAGAATTATGTGACTTTCTTTAGCTTAGACTGCCTGAGGATTCCTGACCCTCTCATCCATTCCCTGGATGCATTTAGCTGGCTGTAGTGCAAACAAAGAAAGGTAGAACCTAGAGGTTCTGACTGCACAGCAGGGAACAGTGTTTTATTTCAACTGTCTTAAAATTATTTTTTTGTTCTTTTCAGTCAAGTTTAGTTTTCATGAAAAGTTGATAAATTCAAGCCTGGTCAGTCATTCATTTAAGACTTCTTAGAAAATTGAAGGGGAAAAGATCAACTAGAATGTGAGCTATTCAAATTTCAATCCAGATAACTTAAGAGCAGCCAAATCTGCCCATTACACTGACTACAGAGTTTTAAAAGTATATAATTAATTTTTGTTGCACATAGTAATGATATACATCTAGATTTTCCAGTCAAATGAATATAGATGAGCAGGTAGAAGAACTGACTGCAAATAGGTGAGAAACAGGATGCTTTCAACAAAGAGCAAATCAATTTACTGCTTTTTCTTTCTTTTTCTAGTGTCAGAATTTGCTGTGTGCAGTACTGATGTTGGCAATGGTGGTGCAGTGTTCTGAACAGTGGTGATAAGCAAACTGAGTGTTACGTTTCCTGGTTTTAATGACAACTAGACAGTGCCCCTGCAGTAGCCACCTACGTATGGTTATGTTAAGGACAAGCTGTCACATACATTCTCTTTTCATGTTCAGTATATTAAAAAAAAGTTCATCAAGAAGGTTCTGCTGCACTTCACATAAAAACACTGAGAGTGAATAATCAATATTCAAATATTATTTAACATAATTGAGAAATAGGTACATAGCTAAGAAATTATGATAAGTAGTTCATGCACTAATCTTAAAGGTAGACAGAAAAATTTTTCATTTAAATAATACTTTGTTATCCATTATCAAATTATTTAACAGGTCCTTTATTGAAATATTTTAGACTATAATTTTAAATATATTGCTGCAATAATAGTGAAAGGGGGTTGGGAAGTAGGATTAAAAAGATTGGTTTTAAGCAGAGGGAAAAACACCCACACATTGTTAAAAGACTAAATAGGTAATGCTCATAATAGCTGTATAATTTGTTTTATAGAGAACTACAGCTCTATGGCTGCTATTTTGCAAGACTAAAACAAGCTTTCCCGTTAGTATCAGTGTAATAATTGTCTAGGTAATTAGTTTTGGTTATCTGTTTGAGAAGGTTGTTTGGGAGATACTTCAAGTAGGATATTTCAATACTGCTGTTTTGAGGCAGAATTTTGCTCCTTAATGTGAAATCTGAAAAAGTACTCATAAATACAGAGAGAGGCAGAGTCACAGAAAAGTTAATTGCCTTGATGGATCAAAGGGAATAGAAAGCCACGTGATGATCATGAGGGAATTAGACAGCTCTGAGATCACATGGCACCACATGCAGGGCCAGCCAGGGAAATGGCTGAGGAGACATGAGCTGTCAGAGCTGTGTTACCACCAGACTGCAGCACACTCTCCTTGTCCCACAGCATGTGGTGCTGCCTGCTTCTCCCCTTCCACCTCTACTGCTGCTTCATGCAGCCCGAAAAATATGTAATGGGGTAAAAAATAAAAAGTTGCAATAAAACCAGAAAATATGATAATAGAAGGCATTCAACAGGACACTGTTTAGACATTAACATCATGCCTGATTGATAATTTTCTATGAAAACAATAAATTAAGTAGCATAATATTTTCACTTTAATAATAGTAACAAATGGAATGTTTCCATATGGAAAAATAAGAAAAGTTGCATTGCTGCTATAAAAATGTTTAGGAAGGAAATAGCATATATTGTAGAATCCAGAAATTCAACAACCCTTGAGCTTGGATTTTACTTTATTTGTCATAACATCATAACATGCATACAGAAGCATCCCCAAAATCTAGTGCCACTGCATCAAGAAACATTTCTGTTCTATTCACATTAGCGTCAACTTACACAATTCTAAATTTAAGAAGCTTATGAGAATGTAACATTTCTAAAATTAATCATGCAAAGTGTTTCCACAGCTTGAGCCTGCAGCAAGAATCCAGTGAAAACTGGTTTGAGGTGGGACTATCACCTGCCTTACCCAGGTGATGAGGTTTACTATACATTTCAGACTACTAGTCTGTGGGTAGATATATATGATGTACATGCTTGAACATCAGTTAATTCTGTTTTCATTATTAAAATGTATAGTTTAAAGAAAAAAACAAAAAAAGGAAAATTAGACAATAATCACTATTTCTATGAATACCATCTCACACACCCATATGTTAATTTTTTGGAACTTTTTGGCTTTCTGGAAAGCCCTTTGTTGTGCCCTAGGGGACTATGATTGAAAGGAGTTAGAATCATAGCAGTTATAAGAATGTATAATTAGCCTAGACAGGAAAAAGAATAAACAAAAAAAGCCTCCACAGAGTGGTTATTTCAGTTACAAATCTCAGTGTCTTTTTCTGGAGTAGAGACTCTTCTCCTCCACACATGTGTTGCTTTTTTATTTATCACTAAAAATGTTAAAGAGAAGCAAAGGAAGATGAATTGCTGGCTAATCTGAAGAGTCTATAAATTTAGAGCCTAAGACCTTGACCTGCATATTAGCTACCTAAAGCACAACTTACACGATGCCTTGCATCAGATGCTTCTACTGAGTGCTGAAGATACTTAAACTCATCAGAGGTCTTCATTTGAGTTCTTGAAAGTGTCAAGAGTTCTTCTGTACATGACCAGACCTGCCTGTCCCCAGCATCTCAAACCCTCTCTGTTTACAACAGGTCATGTGGGAAACCAGGAGCATCTTTCCGTTTAATTTTTTGTGGGGCTTCATTTACATTTGGTACACAGAAACATGTCTTTTTGCACTGTCTTTTGAAGAAAATAAGCCCTCAGTAATAGGAGAGATTGCCTAAGTGCTGTACGACTGCGTAGGGATTAGACTGCTCAACTGGAAGATGAGAACTGGATAACTGCCTGTGAGGGGCTCAGACTCTCACTTGCAGAGATGCTTTTCAGAGGCAGGTGTTGAAACACTCGTTTCCTTCAGAACATGCCTGTATTAGATGGCTCTCAGGAACATTGCTTCACACAACCTATGAAACACTCCCAAATGTCTTAACCAAGCTTAAGGCAACATAACACAGGCTCAAGACTTGGTAAGGACTAACAGCCACAGCTGTATCCCGAGGAAGAAGCATCACCAGGAGCGAAAGCATCACTACCTCGCAGGCTCCTGCACCACTTATTAAATAAAGCGCCCAGGAAAGTCCCAGAAACAAGAGTTTCCTAGAAGCTTCTTTAGTTATTCCAAAACCTTCAGGCTTGCTGGAGGCAGTCGGTGTTCAACACAAAACTAATGGCCTCTGCGTTATTTGTGCCACTTTAAAAGACAGCAAAAAGATGCAAAATTGCCGGAGTCAGAGCTGTGACAGCGCACCAAGCACAGCAGCCTACCGTGGTCCGGGAGGAAGCCCTCATCTCGCCGCTCCGCTCCGCCCCGACCCTGCCCCGGCCACCTCCGAGCGTGTCCGCGCCCGCCCCGCCGGGAGCCGCCGGGAGCCGCCGTGCCGGGAGCGGCGGGCACAGGGAGCAGCGCGGGCAGGTGAGGCAGGGGAAAGAGACCCGGCATCCCCCACATCCCCCACATCCGCGCTGGCAGCGCTCGGTGCCGAGGGGCCAGTGCCACACCTGCCCTGTCCCCTGCACCGGAGCGCGGGGCGTGAGTCGGGGGTGCCCCGGGGGAGCCCTCGGGAGGGACGGGGGATTGCGCTGCGGTGTCCGCTTCTCGCTCTCCTGCCCTCATCTGTTCGCTTCACGCCGCAGTAGCTGTCCCCCCTCCGGATTCTCGCGGCTGCTCTGTCTGTGGTGGTGTGAGGATACCGTCTCTGAACTCCAGGACCTGCCTTCCTCCAGCTCTTCCTATCCAGGCTGGGAAGAAAAAACAGGGGAAAGCAATATTCCATTCTTTGCCAGTGACATCTTTTGCAGCCTTTATGTTCAGCAGAGGTCTTGCTTTCAGTTTTCCCTACAAGTGTCCAACAATTTGAGAATGAATATTTATCAAGCAGAAATGTTTTATTACATTTGGGTGGTTTGGTGAAGTCCCCAGACTGCCCAATGGAGACTGGACATACAGCGCAAGGCAAATGGAACAGGCTGGGAGGGAAAAGGGGAGGAGGAAGATTCATTTCTTTATTCAGAAACTGGATGGATGAACCCTGAGAAGGAAAGAACAGCCACACTCTTTCCGTGACATTCTGGGGAAGGTCATGTTCCATTTCAGCCTGAGACATAGGACTGACTCACTCTCCTACTGTTTCTGAAAGAAAAAAAAAGAAGGAAGAAAAAAAAATCAGTGATCTGTTCTAACTCTTTTGTTTTTAGGGAAGAGCACTCTTTGTGCAGTTCTTTATTAAGCACTTAGCTGCTTTGAGTTTCTACAGTGACCAGGAGTGAAGGGAAAATACTAGATAATGTCGGAGTTCTGGCTAATTTCTGCTCCAGGAGACAAAACAAATCTACAGGCATGGGAGAGAATGAACACTGTGACATCTAAATCCAACCTGTCCAGCAACAGCAAATTCCATATTCCAGACTTAAAGGTAAGTGAGGAAGGGGTTTGTGTATGGGCAATACAGCAGCACTAGCTAGGGCTGTATTGGGACTAGGACTTTTGGGATAACTGTGGGATTTATCCTTTGGGATAAACATGGAATTTATCTTTTGGGACAATATGCAGAGAATAGAAGAAGATTGTAGCTGGGGGATGAGTTGTGTTCAGTCAACTGAAAATTGATCAGAGAAAAGTAAGTCATTGTGTTCAAAACTGACCTTCACATTGGAAGGGTACATGTATCAGAAGTAAAAATGAATAAGTTAAATAACTAATCTCTTGCATTCCATGTACAATTTGCTCCTCGTCATGAAAGACATACATCAGTTTACATGATGGATTGCTAATGCAAAGGAAGTAGCTAGAACCACGACAGTAAGACTGCTGACAGAGAAAACAGTGCTACAATGCACACTACTCCTTGGGAAATTGATGTGTGTGTTTATTCAGTTGCATTATCCAGTTTCATAATATCATATAAATTCAAAGAGTATTAAATCCATGATTTTAAAAATTATTTTAGAGACCTGCACATTTAATTCTGTTTCTGTATGGTGGTTAAGAGGAAATCAAGATCTGCTGCGTTAAAGTCAATAGAGCTACCACAGATGTGGAACTCAGTTCCTTGGGGAATTGTTATCACCCATCACTTAACAATGCTACACTTAGTGCACCCAGGATCTGCCTTTAAACCAAAAAGATTGTTAACAGTTACAACTTGAGCTCCTCCAAGTACATAAGGATGCAAGTAACATGGGAGCATGGCCTGTTCTCAAGTAAAAACCTACTGAATTGTCACATGAATGTTTCAGACTGGTAATGTTGCTTTTTGCGTGTGCACCTGAGATTGATACTCTTTTTACCATCTATGGACCTTATTTTTACCATCTATGGACCTTACCCAACTGGTAGTGGTGTGAGTTTGGTTATGCTAAAGGAACTAAAGCATTTGGAGTATCTGAAGACCCCCATTCACATTCTGCTATTTGTTCTGTATAAAATTTGTTTCTTCTCCCTCAGCTTGACCCTTCATAATGTTGAGCTGGCAACGTAAGAAGAAAAGGTTTACCAATATACTACAATACCATAAATATGGGGTGGTGACTGTGACAGAGTCATACAAAAAGCAGATGTTGGTCGTAAGTGGCTTTGTGAGAGACTTAATTTTTGATAATAGCAAAGAACTCAGACAGAGACCCTCTGTCTGAGGGTCTCTAAGTGCTGCTTCTCTTGGTTCTCTCAGTACCTCTGACTTGTTTGTATGTATGTATTTTTTGTGTGCGTTTCTAGTGTTTGTTTTATCAGGTTAAAGACTATGCAGCTCAATGATACAGGATTAAATGAAAACAGGAAGACAGGGATGTGTGATCTTGAGACTACACATACTTTTTTCCTTTATTGGAAAAGGCTTTTTATGCTTTTTTAGGTCTTGGGTAGAGGAATTGCTAGTATTTTCCACAAAGTAAATAAAGTTCAGCCAAACTGTTGAATTCACCAGTGTTAAGCACAAGTCAGTCTCCTTAAGGCTCTGCCAACAGAAGCCTTAGAGTTGTACATCTTTCACCTAATTCTCATCTTTTACACAGGTGGGGACACTGGATGCTCTTGTTGGTCTGTCAGATGAGTTGGGAAAACTTGATAGCTTTGCTGAAAGGTAAAATAGATCTTATTTACTACCTACAAATGAGAAACAGACATTGTTTTTATGGGATGGTATGTCCTTGTGTTCACCTCAGTCTGACTCAGTTCAGCCTGGACTACAGCTGGACTAAGGTGGATAGGCTTTGTTTAACCCTTGTGTTGATTGTCATAGAAGTCATCACAAAGAAAGGATCATTCCTTAAAATTTAGCTGAATTGAGTCTGTGATAGCTTTCTCTGCACAGCCATTTGAGTGGCAGTGCTAGGAAAGCTGTTTCTCAAAAGGAAACTGCTTAAAACAGGGGGTTTTTTGTTTGGTTGGTTGGTTTTTTAAGAACATTCTTCCTCCCTCATCCAGAAACTTAATGAAACAGCTTTTAGAGAATATGAAGCCCTTCCTGATCTTGTTTTCACAGATTATTTCTGTAGAGCCTTCTGTCCCTTTGCAAACAGATATAGGAGTTCTAAAGATTAAGTTATTTTGAATAAAGTCCAAACCTCTCCCTCTCAGGCTTTTAAACTCCTTGAAAACCAGAATATTGAGTCACATTGTATAAAACCTACTCAAGCAAAGACTCGCATGATCTGACCATGACTTGCTGACCATTGCCAAGTTTGTCTTTTGGACCAAACTGACCTGGATGTACAAAGAATAATGTAGTATAGCAAGCAGAGAAAGTGTTAGGTTGTAAAATGCTTCATGGCACAAAATTGAGTTTGAGGCAATGGAAGTATAAGCTGCTGGGTTTTTCTGGTTTGTTCTATTTTTTTGCTTTGGAAGCATGTAACTATGAACACATGTAGTTTTGGTCATGTGTTAGCTCTGGGGCTTTTAGCCTTTTTTCTCCTGGTCCAGACTGAAAAGGATTTGCGTATCTAAATATGCTCAGTCCTTTCATAGGTTTTTGTCAGGCAACTGCAAACACATACAGAAGCCCTGACATAAACTGTTGGCATCTAGGCTAGGCAGTTTGGGTAAAAGTAGGTCTGCTAGAATACATTTCTCCATATCCTTTTTTTTTTCTTTTAATTTTGTTGGTGCTAAATGAAGTCTGTATTAGGATGATTGCATTTGATCACTCTGGATTGCACACAACATTGATGTTTCTAGAATCATAGAATATGATTCATATCTTGCATTGGAAGGGACCCATAAGGATCATAGAGTCCAATACCCTGCTCCTCACAGGACTACCTAAACTAAACCGTATTGCTTCTCCAGGATTTTTAGCAGGACAGAGCAACTTAATTAATCAAGAAAACCATCTTCATAGTGACTCTGCTGAAAATACTGCCCCATATTCTTTGTAAACATGTTCAGGCCTCTGGTCCATACTGCAGAGAAGAAAATGGGAATGGGGGCAAATTTGGGGAGAGACGGTGCCAATACCTGCTAACTGTTCTAATGGAAGATGTCTCTCTAGTCAGGGTAGCAGATAGGCAAGCAACAGTGAGGCCCTTCCACTGTAATCTACTGAGGCAAGGACTCTCCCTGTTTGCCCCATTTGCCTATCAATGTAGGTAACCAAGAAGGATCAACAACATTTAAAAATAAGAGTGGTGCATTATAAAAATAAGAAAAATAATAAAAATTAGAAAAATAAGAAAAATGCATTAGAATAGTAACATAATAATCAACACAGATTCATCAACACAAGAGAAAAATCAAACGTGATAGCAGATTGAGTCCCACAACAACATACAAAAGCATTTTGCATTAAATAAATGCCTAAGGTCTTATGTCTAAATTGTGACTCAAGGGTTAAAATGCCAAGCACTCACACTTGATTGAAGTAAATGGCATCCAGAGGCTTACAAGCCTGTTCAGATGACCTGAGCAGTTATGTTCCTGCTCCTCTGAAAGAGCTGCCTGCTGAACTGTTGCTGGATAAACACAACTGCCAGTAAAGCCAGGCAGTGCAAACCTGTCAGCGCTGCCTCCTGCCAGGACAGCAGAGAAGGGGCAAGAGCTTGCAGGAGCTATTGTTTCCACATACTTTTATTATTTATTTACTCAGGGAGGAAGAGTGTTTTTCCATGTCACCCTGTGGTAGCATGGAGCTCTCTCATATTGTTAGTTCCCTGGGTCACTCTGAACTGGGGGTTCTCCCTGTTCAAAGTCAGCAGAGCATTTGGCAGCAGCCTCAGATTGCAGGACTTCTGCTCCCTTTAGTGTTTTGGAGGCCTGGCTGATAGCAGCTTTTAATTTTCAGTATCACTTAAAAACTGTTAGACTCTTTTTTTTTTTTTTTTTTTGAAGGTAATGATATTGCAGCACTTGCAGAAGCAAAATGTGAGAGTCTTTCAAGATGTAATAATAGGTTAAATGGAGTTATTGTCTTCATGGGTTTTTACTACCACTTCTTGAGGCAGTTTAGATGAAACCCTCTCCTTTTATAAAGCATCATTTGAGCATGATATTTTCTCAAGGTAGGATTCATCTCATCTAAAGGCAGAGGTTTAAGTGTTGGCTCTGAAAGCTGCTCACTGTTGGATGTCAGTATAGTCAGTGGGACTCCACCAGGGGTCTGATTCCTCTCATTTGCCTCAGACCTCAGTGGTGTGCAGGGTGTGTTATGTCTTTGCACGAGAAATGTTCTGGAGGAGTGAATCCCACTTGCACATCACAGGATGCAAGGCAAGGCACAGAGACTGAGGCAGGACTGGAGAACATTTTTCTGGCCCAGTGTATTACATACGCTGTATCTGTGTCCTGCTGCAGGGACCACGGGATGTTTGGGCAGGAAGGGAGCCAAGCCTTGCCTGGACAGCTGGGACTGTCAGGTGCATGAGAACACACATCTGGACAGAGGCCAGAGCTAACTGTCTCCCACCTGTCAGGTTAGCTGCCAGCTGCACTCAGTGAAACAGTAATGAAAGCAATTTTGGAAAAGCTCCTGGTTTATACACTTCCCCATGGACTGCTTTCTCCGTAAGATCTTTAGCCTCCTGCTATACTGGTCTTACCAACTGCCGTCTCGTTCCAAGTTCTTTGAGCTCCCTGAGCATCATGAAGGAGATAAAAACCAGCTGTATCTACCAGCTGAAATTTTCAGAAATGCTTGTCAAGGTCACAGGTGACAGGGAATTGCTCTCTGGATCCCTCAACCCGCCCCCCCAGCCAGAGTGTGGGCAAGATGTGCTGTACTCCAGCAACCCTCAGCTGGTACCAGGTCCCTGAGGGGCTGCATGTAGATACTGAAAAACTGCAGCAGCTCTGGGAGAAGGGCATAAACTGGAGCACAGTGGTGTAAATTCTTCCTACAGGAACTCTGAACTGCACCTGTCCAGGGTAACAGAAGAATGGTATGGGTTGAAAGGGTTCTTTAAAGATCATCCAAACGGCCTGCCATGGGCAGGGACACCTTCCATTAGACCAGGTTGCTCAAAGCCCCATGCAATCTGACCTTCAGTGTTTCCAGTGGTGGGGCATCCACAGCTTCTCTGGGCAACCTGTTCCAGTGCCTCTTCACTCTCAGAGTAAAGAATTTCTTCTTTTGTATCCAATCTAAATCTGCTCTCAGTTTAAAACTGTTGCCTCTTGTCCTGTCACTACAGGTGCCGGTAAAAAGCCTCTCTCCAACTTTCATATAAGCCTCTTTTATATACTGTAAGGTCACAATAAGATCTTCTTCAGACTGAATGATCCCAAACAGCATGAATTTTAACTACTGCATTCTTGGCAGCATCAGCAATTTCATATTTTTCCTCCCTGTCACAGGACTAGAAAACCTTTCCCAAGACTGTAAGTTTTTTCACAGGAATAGAGAGAGATGTAACTGCTTTGCAGCACATGAATGAAAATCCTTTTCTCTGATGTTTTCCCCATACCAGGAAAGACTGTACCTGGCTCAAAGTCCTTTTCCTGAGCTCTTGAAAACCACAGGATGTCACAAGATACATTGTCCAAACACTGTAGGTGCAATTTCAGTCTCCAGCTCATCTACAGCTGTAGTAGTCTCCCCTCAGGAAGGAAAGAAAGGGATAAGAAGCCTGCCATTACGCTCCCTATTGTTGTGCCAAGGATTATGTCTACTTTGTGTCTCCACAATTTCATGATCAGGCAGTTGCTTTGTAGCTGCTGCTTTTTTTTTTACTGTGTGTAGTCAACCTGGAACAGTTCAGGAATTGAAGGCCAAATTCTATGAATATCTCTGAGTGCAGAAAGATACTGGAACAACCAGAAAGTCTCTTAGCCTGTATGAGACAGGTACTTTGACTAGAGACAGGGGGATCTACTACTGGAGGGACTTGATGAATCCATTTTTTTGAAATCAGCGAAGAATAAGTAACTGTGTGGAGACAGCATTCTCCAGGAGGGACTCTGTTCAAACCACTACTCTGAATGGGATTTGAATCTAGTTCTCCCATAACCTTAAAGGAATGTCTTGTCCACCATGCTAAAGAGAAGAGAGAAAGTCTCCTAAAGAATAAGAACAAGAAGGAAATTCTCCCTGTCAAACAAGTGAACAGTGCCATTTGCCCCTGAGTACTTTTAAGAACCTTCTCTCAGCAAGCCTTAAGAGTTTCTTTAGCATCTTATGGAACAGATTTTCAGTCAATGTTGTCTGTATGTAGCCTTCTGTTCCTTCATCACCTTTGGGGTTTTAAACGTAGGTTTCTTGCCTTCTGGTTTCTGCTATGAGCATAATGACTGTACAGAAGACTGAACCTTGATCAGTCTAGAGCACTGGATAAATAACATTACCTGTGTTTTTGCAGAGATCAATGTATTTAAGAGATAAGAAATTTAGTTCTGTGGTATGTCATAGATTGCTTATCATCATTTGCATTGCAAATTAACCTACTTTGCTTCAGGTGTTTTGTTTGGGCATCTCTGTGTTTATTAGATCATTGTGATAACTGTTTTATAACAATTTTGTTTCTTCACTAACACAGTTTTCTTGTTACACCTAAGCATAATAAAGAAAATAGCTCAGTACATAGGAGAAGTTATGGAGGACTCAAAAGATAAAGTCCAAGAAAATCTTCTGGCCAATGGAGGTAGGTGCTGGGAATGTGGGGGTTTTAATGCATTGATGCTTCTTTTTTTTTGCTTTAGAATATGAATATGTGGAATTGAAACTCTCACACTTCAGAAAGGACAGCCACAGCAACATTTTATCAGAACATGTCTAGCCTGCTCCCATTATTCTCAAAGTTGGCAGAAGCTAACTTTGGAGTGAAGAGGAAAGCAGGAGACATCCTCCTTCACTCCTAATATGACCTAGCACATTTCTGTGCCCTGCCTGGGCTTGATCTCTTATGGGCATCTAAATCTCATTCTGTATGGCTGTGTGACAGGTGTCATTGATCTGATACAGATTTGCATTCTCCAACTATCCTATAAAAGTACAACAAAATTGGATGTGTTACACATGCTAATTACAAACTTGTAGAATTATGGTTTTGAATAAACTTAAGAGTGCACACTCCATCACCCTTTCACTGTCTGCAATGTTGTACTTCAGACCTGTATGGGTAAAGGATGGGGAGGAAGTTCTTTTAGAAATGTCTGTGTATGACATAAAACTGATGTGTGATGAGTGCAGCTGTTTAAGAAATACAATAATCCCACTTACTGTGTTTCAGGGCTAAAGGATAAAATGAAATGTCTCAAAAGTATGTTGACTGATGATTGTGGTGTTGTTACATGCATGCATTTGTGTGTATTAGTGCTAGACACAAGTCTTGGTCTGGTTGTAGAGATACAGTGATCAGGTTACGATGGATTTCTCAAGTAACAACCTCGTAGCTTGATCACGATATCCCTATGACTTGAGAAACAACAGGTTTCATTAATTTCCTTTGTTTCCCCTTTTTACACCATTTTGTTTTCCTATCAGCTCTTCATGTGTGGTATTAGAAGGCTATGACAATTACTTGTGTGTTACTAATTTCTCTCCTCTGTCTGGGTTTGGTCATCCAAACAAATCATATTAAATTAGGACATGAACCTTTCCAAGATTATTCACTGCATCTGAAAAATGAAGTCAGCTTTAGTATATGAGGATTCCCCTAATATCTTCCAGCGTCAGTCTTCATAAGCAGCAGCAATTTTGCTGCACCAAGTCTTCCTCCTTACCTTTTTGATTAGCAAAAGGACTCTAAAGTCCTTTTGGATTTCCTTGAGTTTGTGAACTCAAGGACTTCCTTGAGGTTGTGAAATCAGAAACAAAATCATAAGACCTGATTTCTTGCTGCATGATCCTGTTTCAGACTATTACATCATCCCAACTCAAACTTTGTTTTAAGTTACACTGATTTTAGCTCAGTTGTATATAATTCTGATAGCAGTTAGGTGGTGGCTGTGTGTCTAAGTTTTTTGTTAGATATGTATGAAGAAAAATGCAAAGGATGAAAAAATACAGCACTTTTAGTTATGTGAGTATACACACATGGAGTTTTCCAGTGGGCAACAGTTGAAAGCAGCCATATGGAAATTTCTCTCTTACAGAGAAAAATATATATTTGGGTAATAAAAAAAATTTTAATATATTGTAACAGCATAAGCAAACTTTTTTGCTTATGACAGAATAAAAAATGTGAAATGACATGAAAGCTTTTCTTCAAAGATTCATACCAAATTCTCTTCCATTTATGGTAATGTTAAATCCAAATGAATTTTAAAATTTGATAAATGGTGGAATAACTCCATGCTTTATAGTGAACACAAAACAAAGCAAAGTGGGAAGCATAACAATTTTGAAGAATTAAGTGTTTTAAAGGGAAAGTGTTTAACATTGCATCTTAGAGCTGAGTGCGTAAATTAGATTATGAGATTCAGGCTGTCGAGTTCCTGGACAGCTGTGAGCTGGTAGGAATCATCTCTCCTGGGTGGGCAGCTATGTGAAGTCTTTTAGAATAGACTTGACAGGTCCCATGTCTGAGGGATGCCATTCCATGAGCAACAGGATTCTAGGACTGCTTGGCAATTTAAGCTCAGCCCTGCTAGTGTAGTTCACAGTAGTTTGTGCCATCCCCAAGATCAGGCTTCTTAACTAACCTGCACCAGTGCCAGAGCACTGCTCAGGAGTGAACTTGAAAAACTGGGCTGAGAACTCACGCTGTGTTTAACTGTCCAACATCCGGATTCTGCTGAGAATTAAGGAATGTGAGGATAGAAAGGGCATGTAAAGTTCTTTGGGGAACTTCTATATCTCATCAGCTATAAATAGGTCAGTGTCTGTCTTTATAGAGCCTGTGAATACACTGTTCCTCTGCACAGCCCAGTAATTCCAAGCTCTTTGCAGGTTTCATCCCCACTGAATTTAGCAAGGCCTAAGCACGCAAGGTTAGAAGAGAGGCAGCAGAGTGAAATCCTTGTGCTGTGTACCCCCTATTGGAAATGGTGTGTGAACTTTGTTACTGAAGTATATTTGACCTCTCTGCCTTCCCCACGGAGACCATGAGCAAGCACTGCTGGAGAACTGTGCACACAAGAGCTGTGCCATAGCTCTCCCTGCCTTCTGCAGTTTTGCACCTTTTCTGCACCCTCCGTGTGCAAGAGAATTTGCTCATTCCTGATGAGACATTAGCAAGAAGCACTGGATCTTTGCCTTGTGACTCCTGCTGATTGGATGTGGGGGACGTTGACACAGATGTGGTTTTACAAAGAGGGGGAGAACACCACTGTGCCAGTGCTCTCTGCCTTCTAGGCAGTTTATCCCTTGCTAAGAAGCCTGTTCCCTCCTAGCATAAGACTTTCCATGCTTCAGAAATCTAATAGGGTAAACTGACTCTGTTGTGGGGTGAGAGAAGCCCATGGAAAGGATAGTGCTCTCCTGCCAAGGGTATTTGGTATCACACAAAATAGGGTAGTACCCTCAGCCTGGTAATATGGCAATTACACAATATTCCACATTCCTTCCTATGCATCTTGGTTCTTAAAGTTTTCCCCTTACCCTCAAAGTCCAGCCCACAAGAAATTGTGCTCAAACCTCACTGTGGGACTGAATTCACTCCCTGGACAAGGCAGCAAAGAGCACTTAAGGGCCTCAGCATGCATGTCCTTTTACTTGACATCTTGAGCTTGTTTTGCTCCCTACTGCTTCAGTGCAACTTCCCAGATATTCTCCATATTTATCCTTCTGGTCTGGAAGGAAGCCCACCCTTCAGCTGACAGTGCCTCTTTGTCTAGATGTCTGCTGCCTTCCTCTCACCTTCTTAACCTTTAGGGAGCAATTCCAGCCCCTCTGCTTGTTGTGGCAGGATGCATGACTTTACCTCATCCTATAAAGTTGTGTAAGAACACTGCGTAGTGGTGTGTTCAGCATCCAAAGGGCTCTCAGGACTCAGGCAAAGAGCTGTTTGATTTCATGAGCTGCTGGAGGAGAATTCCTTATTTGGTACCATAATGTACTAAGCCTTACTGTTTTCTAATATCAAGGAGTCTTGGTCTTCAAATAGTGGAACAGGACGACCCTGTTCTAGGAGCTGGATGTTGTATGTGTCATCTCCCCTTGATTCTGGGAAGAAGCCACGGCTCCCCATGGTCCGAGGGTGCCTTGTTGTGGGGATTGCATGCACAGAGCTTTGCTGTGAATTTCTGTTGTAGGATGCTGTGACTGGACATTTATATAAATACCCTATAGTTTTGTGTGAGATGGGAACTTCTGTGCACAAAATCAAGGAGGAATTCATCATCACACCTGAATTTGTTTGATTTCTAGTGAGCACTTGAATGAATCACAGAAAAGTTAATCTGCTATGCTCTTAATACCTTTGATCAAGCTCTCAGCCACCCTCACTATTACTGCTTGTCCTGGGCATGAAGCATTTTTCTGATAGCTCTTGCTGGGATTAAATTCAGGCATATTGCAGAAATCAAGATTGAGATTACACAAAACTGTTTATACTGTGAAGAAGAATAGCTGTACAACTGTGTGTCCCGATGATACAGATAATGTTACAATTTTTCTATACTGCTAGGTGTAAGGCAGTAAAGATTTCTGGTTCAGCTTCTAAGTTTGGGCATGTTTAGAAAGACGATTAGATTGGGCATATGATCTGTGCAGATTTGATCTAGATCAAATCTCTATAAGAATTCAGAGGTGGGCTTCTGGTTCACTCCTGTCTCTAAAGATAATCAAAGTTATGCCTAAGGTATAGCTGGGAACTACCACCCAAACTCTGGCTGTCTGATACCCTATCTGCTTTCATGCATCTCTTTGCATTTTCAGTTGACCTAATTAGCTACTTGACACGGTTTGAGTGGGACATGGCCAAATATCCCATAAAGCAGCCGCTGAAGAATATATCAGAAGCATTAGCAAAGGTAAATTGCAATCCAGATTTTAAGATGTCATCATGGGGAAGCATGTCTTTTGGCAGGTTGTGTTCCCTCTTCTCACGGCAGTCAGTGGGAGCTTTGCCTTTGGCTTGGCCAGGAACAAGCTCAGAAGCACACACTTAATACTGAAGCAGTTTATATTATTGCAATTTCTACTGCAATTATAATGATACATACATTGAAACCTAACCAATCTGTAAGTATATGGCACTTAGTCAGATTTACTAGAGTACATTGATGTGTTTTTTGCACTTTAATCCCCTTCATTGTAATATTTTATTTTTTCATATACTGTCATATTATTCTCCATCTTGGAGGATTTTTTTGTGAAATTGCTGGTCTGACAATAAATCAAATGCCTGCAGGCTGGATGAATTATTTACACTGTCAGCTCATTTAGAAAGGTGTGATGTGTTGTTCAGCGTAGGTAACAAATGAAACCATGAACTTGCCCCTTAGGTACAGCTTTGGCACTCTAACAGCAACAGCTGCCTGAATCCTGCTTTCTGCAGAGGTCTTTGCCACGGGGGAGGTCTGACACTAGTTCCCTCTTGGCCACAATCCAGGTGGTTTTAGGGGGCTGACAGCTGTGTGCTTGCATTAAGGTGCAGTGGTAGTGGGATGGAGGTGAGAAAGAGGCCTCTAGCACTGTGTTGACTCACTTTTTTTACTTTGTTTTAGCAAGTGACTCAAATAGAAACAGACCTAAAGACCCGATCAGCTGCATACAACAACATTAAAGGAAATTTGCAAAGCCTGGAGAAAAAAACCATGTAGGTATTTTGCATTGGGGATGCTGCATGGCTGAACTGAGGGCAGTGTGAGCCCACACCTATTGCTGTGCAGAGGACCACGTGTTTTGGTGGGAAAACTTTTCTGGCTTTGGGACATGCTGAGTAGCTACAGACACAGCAAAAGTCAGTGATAGGAAAGCTGGTGTAATCAGCATGTCTCAAAATCAGCTTAGGGACAGTGCCAATCCTAATGGGGTTCTATTGGCAGTGTGAGCAGGCAGTCTTGGAAAGAGTCAAAACCAAATGCACTGTATTGTTCTGATGGGACTTCAGGGAGTCAGAAGTTAGATGAGCGGTGTCAGCTGGTGTATTCTTTTGCCAGACAGAGCTGTGTCCTGTGTTCTGAACAGGATTTGCAGGGGCTCCCATAGGAAACAGCTCTGTCTTGCTTGTTCCCGCACCTCACCAGCACCCCACTTATATTTTTCTTTTCTTTGTTTCATTCTGTTGGTTCAGGTAATGCATTTTTTGGGCTTCCCAAATGTTCTCTCTCCTGTCTTCATCTGCTTATGGTCTTTACCTCTATCAATGCTGATACCTGGGTTTTTCCTAGGATATCATTGGGGAGAATGGTAAAATCCACTAAGTAGTAAATTCAAAGCAACTTAGATGATGCTGTGCAAGCCCTCACCCAACACATGCTCCTATGTGCCACTGTGTCATACTAAGGATCTGGGCACAGGACACAGGTCCTTGCCCTCCTGACCCTGCAGCCAACCAGGCTGGCATCCTGCTGTCCAGGCCTCTGGCCAGGTGATGAGGGGGAAGAACAGAGACCTTGTGGTCAAGGCCTATCTTCCTCTCACCATTTCATTCACCTTTATATGCTGACAACTCTGATGTCTATTAGTGCCAGAGAGCCTGGGTTGAACAAACACCTAATAAGTTACTGGCCAGTTAATTAATATTTAGAAACTACTGGTTTAGGTCCTTTTCACTTTTGCCCAGTGACAGGTAGGGCAGTTCCTCTCTTGTCATACACACCTGATGCCTTCCAGCCATGTCCAGTTAGCCCCGGCCATCTACATCTCCTAGGAATTAATATGATCAAGTGGGCTTAGTCTGAAAAGACCTCCTGCAGGTCCCACCCGTGCATGAGACTGCTGCTCTCACTGCCCTTCAGCAGGAGGTATCTGTGTGCCTATCCACAGCAGTCCAGGTATGCCAGTGTTGCTTTGATGGCTTAGGTCTGTACTGATATCTCTTGCTCTGCCTGAAGCCAGGTCACACAAGCAGTTCAATGGGCTTCCTGAGAAAGCAGGTGTCTCCTTCAGGAAGTGGCAATGACTGGAAGCAGATGTGCTCTTCCTGAGCATCTACACCCCTACTGTAGAAACAAAAGCAGCAGAAGTGTAGTTTCACATAAAGGGCATAAACTGGCCTCATGCTAGTCACCGATATTCTGTCATTAGTATTAGTTGTTTTTTGATTCTTCTTGGTTGCAGTAAAAATAACAAAATGGCCATTTCAGAAGTGTAGCTGTGTCCTTTAGCAACCTCCTTCTTGGCCCTCTTCTACCCCAGTATACACTATTAGCAACTCCACCCACAGCACAATACCTCCAGTGTGCTGCTGCTGAGTTCCTGCTAGTGTTATTTTTACTTTGTCTTCTTTACCGTAGGGGAAATCTGCTGACCCGGACCCTGGCAGACATAGTGCATAAAGAAGACTTTGTTCTGGATTCTGAGTATCTTATCACGCTGCTCGTCGTGGTGCCAAAGTAAGGCAATAGTGTGTGCACAGATGCTTGATGTGGCGTTGAGTTTCAGGCCTTGGCACTGGATCCGGGCAATGCTGGGTCAGGTTGGGGCAGCTCATCAGCGCTGTGGCTGGGACATGGGTGGAGCTGTTAGCAAAGAAGAAAGAACCGTTTCTGCCAAGAGTGGTGCTGGCACAAAGAAGGAGGCAAAGACTGTTCCAACACTGTAGCAGGACAGAAACGGGATGTGGGTTTTTAATGATTACGAGTGTGTTCTCAATCAACCTCCTGAATAGTAAGAGCTAAAAGAAAAACAGACTCTTACTGGAGCACAGCCATAACCTGTCCAACTCACAGTCTCTGCTGGCCATACACTGCATCTGTAAGCCCCTGGTGGTCTAGTGGTTAAGGGTGCGGCACTGTCACTGCCGAGACCCCGGTTCGATTCCCGGTCAGGGCCACTCCCAGGCAGATGGAGCTCGTTAGCCCTTAAAAAGGCAACCCATCTACGTCCTAAGGACCTCGCTGCCACCATCCAAGCTCGCTTGGCCCCGGCAGATGAACCTTAGGATTAAAGGATGGGCTCAGTTCCGCGCACACTGTGTCTCACCTAAAAAATCCAATGCGCAGGCTGGAAGGTGTAAAGACCTTCCCCGGATCTTCGCTCGTGAAGACTGGCCATTAAGTGCCTACATGCAGGATGACTGCCACTGCCATCAGTTGCGACAGTTATACAGTGTCCTCCTCAGAAGCCTACACAAAAGTTTTCCTCTCCATATAGCCCTGTCCCAACACACACAGAAGGCACCATAACTTTACTGTATCACAGGTTACAAAAAAGCTGTCTGAGATCTAAGTTTCTTGAGTTTCTTATCTGCACATTCTTTCAGATTCCCCCTAAAAACAGACTTCTTGCTTTGCAAACTCTTACCATCCCCCAGATCCCTTCCTTCCAGTGCTGGCACTCACCATGATTACAGTCTAGCATTGGATCAGCTCTGGGGTTGCACACAGCAGATGCACCACACCTACCCATGGTAGGGGTCCTCCAGGACCCCAACCCTTCTGCCCTAAGCCATTAGCCTAACTAACTACATATATCAACACATTTGCTTTCCAATATATAGTATTTATTTACTGTGCTTTGTTGTATTGCTCAAAGGTCAAGCTATGTACAGTGGCAGAAGACCTATGAATCCCTCTCAGATATGGTAGTGCCTCGCTCCACCAAGTAAGTGAAGTTCCAAATTAAGCTCCCTGTTCATTTCAGAGATCCCTGCTATATTTCAGCCAAATGGCTGGATCCTGGAAGGAATCACTTGTCTAATGCATAGGCTCCACATTAACATATTTTCAGTTCAAATCAGAAATTACTCTGTTCAAGGGAAGTGCAGATGAAAGAAAAAAAAATTTTATCACAATTAGCTTGTTGTTCCTTTTTCAAGAAACCTAGTTCTTTCTACTTTCAACCAGTGCCTTAGCTTTTTTGTGTAAAACAGACAATATGTTACAATAATCAAGGCATAATTCAAACACATGCAATCACGTAGAACTATATGGAAACTGATTCGTAAGAAGATCAAACACTAAATTTGCATTTTAATTGCTTCCTGCTGTACAATAGAATAATTCAGCATACTATCATTTGCATTAGCAAATACCATATTAACTTATCCTTTCACCTTAAATATTCCACTGCTCAGCTCACACAGACCATGAGGCTCAGTCCAGGGCACAAGAGCTGACTATTTAGCTATTACCTGAACTGCAAGAAGTGGAAGCAAGCTGTTTGCTACTGCCTGTCTCAAAAACACAAGTGTATGGAAAGGTGGGGCAACGTTACCAGGAAACACAGACAAATCAGGCAGGCAGAATGTGTGTACTCCAGGGGGTTCAGGAGTTTCACATTGGAGATAGCTTAGCCAGTGCTAGTAAAGTCTTTGTTCTCTGTTTCAGTCACAACAGTTCTCGAAAAGCAGGGTGTTTTTCAGTATCATAAATGAAAATAAAGAGAACTGCAAAAGAGGAAGGTGAGGAAGGCAAAAAAGGCATGAGGGGATTGCCATGACAAATCAAAGCATTGGATTTCCCTCCCACAGAATGATTGCTGAGGATGCAGAGGGAGGACTCTTCACCGTGACCTTATTTAGAAAAGTGATGGATGACTTCAAGGCTAAAGCCAGGGAAAACAGGTAAGAAACAATGACTGCTAGTCAGGGCAGGCTAGTGAGAGATAATGAGGACAAGGTGAAGCTTATTCTGTGTGCAGTATGCTGAATCCATCACTGAGTTTTAGGACTTCTTGAGTGCTTGGGCTACTGCTGGCCCTAAAGCCACTGACAAGGCAGGGTGGGAAGGAGCTGTGGCAGCAGAATTACTGATCCTGTTCCTAAAGCACCAAACTACAGATTCTGGAATTGTCCTTCCTGCTCTCATGCTACTGACAGCATGAAGCTGGCTTTCTAGGGGTGACTTAAACTCCCACCCTCCACATATTTTAACTTGTTAAATGGCTAGCAACTTTCTATACCTGCTTCTCCAGAGGGAAATTACTGTGCATTTCACCTGGACTACAACTTGTGAAAGCAAATGTCATTCAATTGTAGGTTCATAGTTCGAGAATTTTATTATGATGAGAAGGAGCTGAAATGTGAAAAGGAAGAGCTGATGAAATTAGCTTCTGATAAGAAACAACAATATGTAAGTAGCCCCTCAAGCTGATGGCCTGCATAAATACAGCCTTTGCTACTAGTGTGCCTAAGCATCTCTGACTCAGAAATGGCTTTATGGTTCCACCAGTCTCCTGTGAGCTCCATTTAGCCCATAAAACTGAGGCATGGGATAAATAACATGATTGGCCCAAAGTCATCTGAGTTGATGATAAACTGGGAATCACTACCAGGTGCCTGGGAACTGTCCCAGCAGCCCATGATGACCTTAGTGATGTGTTAGCTATGGGGCTGCTTCACTCAGCAAGGGGATCACAGTACTGTTGTGTCTGTTCCCATAGGGCCCATTACTGCGCTGGCTGAAAGTGAACTTCAGTGAAGCATTTGTAGCTTGGATTCATGTGAAAGCCTTGAGAGTTTTTGTTGAATCTGTCCTGAGGTGAGTTAACACAGAGTGCAGGCAGAGGTTCCTGTGAAAGTCAAAACGTACAGTTCTCTTCCTGGTGCAGTTCCTATGTGGGTGGAACCCTTACACACCTTGTTTTGTGTTGATCAAGATGTGTCCCTTGCACACTTCATTCCAGGAGCTCACGGGAGACAATACACATCACAAAAAAGGTGACACACAAATTTGATGAAAAACAGTTCTTTGGGGGCATGCAGAGGGAAGTAGAAAACAGAAAGACACTATTCAGTTGACTTTTGTCTTTAAAAAGAAAATGCTTTCCAGTAAGAAGGCAGCATTGTTTCTGCAACATACCATCAGCTGGCATGCCTGGAGGCTGAGGAGCGAGAAGGGCAGGAGCAGAGAGCTGTGTCCCTTCCCAGCAGATGATCATGTATGTTGATGTGTTTCAAGGTATGGCCTCCCAGTAAATTTCCAAGCAATGCTGTTGCAGCCAAATAGGAAGTCTGTAAAACGCCTGAGAGACGTCCTAAACGTGGTCTTCAAACACCTGGATGAAGTTGCAGCAGCAAGTATAATGGATGTACGTATCTGACCTGCAAGCGCACATGCTGTAGCTCGCCTCACCTTAGCCAAATGGACTTCTACTGTCCAGGGGCTACAGCATGCATATCCTCACATCTTGCAGTGCTAGGAGCCCTGGGTGCAGCTCTAATCCCTGGTGGTTGCAGACTGGGTTAGGGTAACAGTTAGGCTCAGATTATGATGCACATGCATAGAAGAGATTGCTTGTATTTTCTGTTGAATCATTTGATGTTTACAGCTACCCAGAAGAAAACAGGTCTGCTCAATTATGGCAGTTTCTCTGCATAAAAGGCTTAAAAGTCCTTTATGAACATTCAGATCAAAACAAGCAAGAATAAAAAAGAATTTGGAGCTAAACATGAGGACTGGGACACCTCTATCCCCTGTAAAAGGCTGTAATTCATAAATAACCTAAGCCTTAAGGAGCAGTACTTGCTTTCACCTTCCCCACATCTTGAGTGCACAAATATTTCAGGCTAAAGTAATAAATAAACTAGCAGGCCTTTAAAACAGTCTAAAACCAGCAACCATGATTCCCACTACACAAAGGGAAGACAAAGAGATGAGCTGCTCTAGAGCTGAAGCACACAAAATTGCTACAAGTTCGTAACAATGGAGCCCGAATTCTCAGTGTTACGTTAGACAGCCTGAAACAAGCACAGACCAGATTCTCAGTGTTGAATGTGGGAGAGGAGCACAAAAGCAAGCCCCTGTAGCTTGGAACTGTGCAACAGTTTGTTTACTGCCACTAAAGTCATATTATTTCCTTTTCCAGCCTGGCATGGACATCCCTGGCTTACAACTGAGTAATCAAGAATACTATCCTTATGTCTATTTCAAGATTGACCTCAGTCTTCTTGACTGCAGTTAAAGAAAAATTGCTCAAATTTCATCTATTAATTTTCAAGACTCTTAATGTTATAGTAAAACAATCTTCAGCTGCTGAAAGTCAAATTAAAATGCAGATGCTGTAGCAGGATGATCTTCCTTCTACTTCCAATAATTTTTAGAGTGACTTCAATATAAATATTCCTTATTCATAGTTTTACAAAAAATATTTCAGAGGCAGGAGGTACTATGGTAGTATTTATTTTTTTTTGGTAAATTACAAAGGTGGAATATCTACAGGACTTCAAATAAAACAATTTAAAAAGGATGGTGGCTAATGGGTCTACTAAGTGTATATAGTCCTGTTTTTCTAACAAAACAAACCAAACAAAAAAAAACCTAACAGAAAAAGTAGAAAGCATCAGAGCAAAGTCCAAAGTTCTTTTAATTTAACAAAAAAAATGCCAAAAGCTTAAGAGGAAAGATCCTCAAAAATGCTGAGGAGCTAGCTGTAGTATAACTTATAGTCCCAAGTACTCATGAGTTAATTTTTGCAAAGATATTTCAGTTAAAACGGTTCCATTAGATCTCATCTGCTGGGGTGTTAAGAGCTGGAGCACATCTCTTGCACCAGATCAGCAGTCACGTTACTGCTGGTTCTGACACTGCCTTTCACAGGGATGAGCTACGGGCAATCTCTTACAGACACCAGATGACAAATATCCATATTAGGTTATTTCCTTGAAAGAAGGGGAAACTTTCAGCTCTTTTATTCCTCACTTATAAACAAGCTCATCATATGAGGATCACTTCACTATACACCAATATACAAGACATGGAGAGCAATAAAATAATAGTATTTTTATTAAAAAAGCAGCAGTAAACATCCCTATTACCAGTTCCCCTTCCAAGGAAATAACAATTCCAGATCAAAATGATGTCAGATGGGAAGTGAAGAAGCATTACCCAATTTGCTGGAGACAGCACCAGGGTGGTTTTTTTATAGCACCTGGAAATCCTCATGCCCTAAAATGGGGATTAGCTTCACCACTGATCCAGGGGAAAGACCAACAGCTCCCAGCATCTCCCACTGCAGCAGCAACCGCACTTCTATTGTATTAATGATCTCACGAAGTCTGGCACAAAGACAGAGAAAGCCCCTGAGAAGGAATATGAAAAGGAAGACTGAAGAGCATTTAAACTAAGATTGTCCATCTAATCAGGCTTTAGGCCAAACTGTCAAGATCTCACAGCAAGGGGGTGGTTTAGGACTCCCATCTGCACAAGCCTCTCTATTCTACAGTTCAGTTTTCAAGAGTCATCCACAACAGGACAGCTTGTATCATGTGCACCTTTCTTACTCTATACAAGACTAACACTGTGTGTCAAAAAATATTTTATTCTTTAATTGAAACAGAAGCTGACCAGGTTCCACCTCTGTGAAAAAAAAACCAACAAAAACATTTAAAGTTGGTTACACTAAGAGCCTCCAGTAACACTCAAACACCACATTATCCACAAAATAAAACCCAAGATGTTCCAAAGAAATATCCATGTTGTCCTCAAAATATTTGTTACACAGACAGAATACAATCAAGTTTACTGGTTATGACAATTCATAGAATTTCTGCAATGTTTTCTTGAGATGCGTACAGTCCACTGCTGCAGTGCATCAAACAGCACAGTTTGTCACGTGCTGTTCTCCATATAAAGGCCACTGGAATATCCGTCTGATTGTGATCCAGGCTGCAAACTGCTGCGCAAACTCTCCCAAGAAAAAAAGTTTCCTGAAGATCTCACAGCTCGTCTTTATCCCAGTCATCCAGATCCACATCACTGAGATCAATGTCATCTTCAACTGGAAGCTGTGAGAAAGGGAAGGTTTTGAGCATGTGTTTAGAAGTGCTTAATGCCAGGAGATCCCTGATTTAGAAAGATCCTTACTTCATCCTGAGAGTAAAGCTCCCTCCAGTCATCTCTTTCATTCATAAAACTAAAAGTGCATTAAGCACAGGACAAGTGATCAGTTTGGACTGAAGGTTGTTTTCTACTAATAAAAACACTCCACATGAAGGCAATGCAAGTAAACTCTGTAACAAAACTACTACCATTTCCATGCTTTTATTTGTCTGAGGTAGATCAAAGGACTGCAGTAACTTTGTTTTTTACAGCAATGTTGAACTTTAAGAATGTACACCGAGTCACTTTGTTACACAAGCTTTACCCGACAAACTTTCTGACAGTAAGACCTTGATGGCAAGGTCAGCATACTGCAGAACCAGTGTCTCCACAACACTGAGGTCCTGAATGCATGCACTACCACCTCCCTTCCTCAGCACTGCTAATACACTTCTCCCTCAAGAGATCCAACTTTCAGATCACATCCTAACAACTAGGCAGGAGCATCTGGTCCACAGTGTCAGACAATCAGATTCGTATTTGGTCTGCTGGCAGGATTTAGATAAAGCAAAACCATCAACAAAACTTGCAACAGTCTTGTAAGAACAAGAATTTTCACACTGACAGTTCTTAGTTACTCTATTCTGTCACTTCTGAACCCAGCAGTTTATCAGCACATTTAGAAATGGAGCACCTCTTACCTCACCATCTTTGCCATCCCAGGGTTCAACTGAATGAATTTTGGGGAATGCTCCACCACCCACTGGTGCTGTAGAGCCACGACCAACAGAGAGTTCCCTGAGAAAACACATGCAAAAGTAAAGTTAAGAAATTTCTCCAGCCTCCATCCACCCAGAACAGTGCCTGCTTCAGATAAAAGGAAGTCAACATTAAGATTTCATCTCTTCAAGCAAATCTGAGCTGTCTGGAAGCAAAACCTTTTCAAATTGAGAAGCAGAAAATGACAGAACCCTTAAAGCAGCATTGAAAATTTACAATGGGATCCAAAGACATCTGTGACCTTCACTATTTCATATTTCAGCAGTGTAATAGTCATGGATAAGTACAGACCTTCAACAGTATGTTGTTTATCACTTAAAGCAACTCCAAGGAGAGTCTGGAATTATATTTGTGGAAGTCACCTGTGGCTGTTATTTAAAATTACCACAGATCTTTTTTACTGAAGACTAAGCCTCCATGGGTTCCAATGGGTACAAGGTAACCAGCCTCTGAGACACTCCATCCTGCCCTTGCTGCTTAGGGTTGCTCAAAAAGCCCAGCATTAAAATCCTGATGAGCTAATCCCTTTGCATTCTTTCAGAGGCAAATAAGACTCAATTAGCATTTCTCCCTAGGTGGATTCCACAATTTTTGTGCTCTTCAAAGTGCCAGTTTCTTTACTTGTAGTCAACACTGCTGAGACTGCCTATTAGATTACAGAAGCTGCCTACAGCAGCTGAGTTAACAGCCAGCCAGCCACACCGACTGTGATTTTACTGCTTTCTCTAGGCAGCACAGCTGAGCTGAAGCATGGAAAGACAATACCAAACCAATTACCCAACAGTATAAGCTGTTAAATTGGCTGTTGTGTCCTGGAAGCACCCTCACCAGGAGAGGCTTTACTATAATGGATTTTATAGACTAAGAGAATTTGCCATGTCTGAGAAAGGCAGATGCTTCTTTCACGTGCATTAATTAGTACAAACTGTCTAGTGTTTCTCTTCTTGCATCTGAATCCTGAATTTTACTTGATGTCCTAAGAATGTTTATTTTGTGGCATTAAGAAGAAAGTCTGATCACTTGGTAAGATCTTACCTGTCTGATCAACAGGTAAGAGAATATAGCATTGATTCCAGTAATACAGCAGGAACAGCATTCAGTTAATGTGCTTCTTATGGCAAGGTGGGGAGAGGCTGTTGCATTTGCTTTTGCAATTCTGTCTGTCCTCTGCCATTGTCCAAGCAAAGACATGGAAATAACACTGCTAATGTAAGCTCTCAAAGGCTCTTGCATACATTATGGCAGGCAGTGCTTTACCTGGAAGCAAAGTTCCCACCTCACTTTGACCACACCGAAGTAAAAGTTTGAGTTTAGCTGCTCTGTTTCAGTGATGATGCCACCTTCCGTCATCCTCGCCATTTCACTTGCCTCATTCCATTCTTCCCAGCACTGGTTCTTGCCCCAGCTACACAAGGGGCAGTTTCAGGGAACTTGTACTGAGCAGCGAGCTACTGAATTTTTGGATGGATTGCTTCAGCAACACTAATCAGTTTATCAGGTGCCAGGAGAATGGGAGGTGGGAGGAGGAAGACAGGAACAGACTGAACATGGAAGATGAACAGTAACATATAGAACTTCAACAGCACCCATTTAAATTCCCAAACTGGGAACTTCCCAATTATGAATGACTAGTCATAATGCATTATTTGAATTAAATAGAATTGATTACCAAGTTATTTCCTGAGTTACAAAGAAACATAATTTTTCACCATCAAAGCCCATTTCTGGTGTCAGAAGTTGTGCCAAAACTATTTAAGTCTAAACAGCCAACTTAATTTTGCACACCATAAAAAGGTTGTGACTTCTTTATTGCAATCCCCACTGAAATCATTCCCTACTCCAGTGAATTCTAATCATAATTCCCTTAACTGTGCAAGTCTTGTCTGATCCTGAAGAGTCTGATTTTGGCCTAAAGTCACAGCCCCAGTTACTGAAAGATTCAAGTCACTTAAAGATTTCATACCTGAGAAACTCATTAATCCCTTGCTCACTGAATGATCCTTTCAGAAGGGCAAATTTCATCTTGCGAGCATTAACAGCAGCCATTGCTGGATACCCAAAGCCTCCAATTCCCAGAGAGCTCTCAAGATCTGACTGAGCACCTGCTTCTGTCCACAGCCACCTTGAGGAAAAGATGAAACAGAAAATTAACAATGAAGATAGGCACTACAGTAATTTTCAAGTCACACATGTCGTGCAACCCTGCAGACTTCAAGTGGGACTCTGAACTGCCCTTGACAGTGGCAACTGTTACTGAAATCCTGAACCCTGCACCAGAAGAAAGCTCCTCCTCAGCAGCACCACTAGGCCAGTCCCATCCTCACAGTCACTGAAATCAGAACTGGATCAAAACAGCCACTCAAGACATTGAAGGGAAAGAACTATGTTACCAACATGAACAAACTGCTACACTTTCGCCTGTATTAAGCAAGGTTTAAAATTACTCAAGTCACAGATCCAAACATGACAAAGTCCTGCCCAAATATCACTGTAAAGGA